TCAAATCTGAAAGCAAAGAAGGAGAGTTGAAATTTGTTTGACAGCGGGGTAAAAATGCATTTCCTCATCGATTTTACTCGCGACCTCGCTCAACTATTGCTGCGTTCGAATACTTACACGGGTAGAAAGAAAAAGTTTACCTTATTAAATATTATTTAAGTTAAAATTACTTTGAACACGAGACAGAAGTTACGTTCCTGAGAACTATCTGATAGGTATTATCTTAATCTAATGTTTTAGACAATTCAAAAAGATAGGTACTCTTGTTACTACCTAATTACTAATAATATAGACAGGCTTGTTTTAATCTATATTATGATGCAGATGCAGGGTATTCGGGGCACTAGGGCCGCGTGTTTTATGGGGCTGAAAAAATCCGGTACAAGGACAATAGCATGCGTAGATGGATTTACCTATGAAGGGCGCCACTGCGCCTCGTCAGGATATTATAATTATGCACATGCATGATATTACTTAGAAGAAAGATTTTTTTGTTTGTACTGAATCGACCCTAAAAATACTGAATTTAAAATTTCAAAGCACCAATTTCCCTTCAAGACGTATTGCAAGGGAGAAGCGTCCTAAATTCCACGCACGTGCACGCATTATGGCTGATGTAGATGTTGGTAGGTCGCCGTGTGAGTGAGGTTACCGGTGGTCCATTCCCTCCCCCTCACCTCATCCCTTCCCAATTCTTTAATATCCGAAACCATTGTCCCTAAAAGGATGGCAACACACTCGTAACTCCTTTGGTGTAGCGGGTGTCCATAAGTGGCGCTGATTGCTTACCGTCAGGTAAGCCGTCTGCTCGTTTGCCGACCTATACCATAAAAAAGGTACCTACGTACTAGTACTACCTTTTGCGATGGGAATGCAAACGAGCAGCTGTATTAGCATTAGGCGATGATAAGACCCTTCTTTCCTTTCACAGGACCGCAGGGTCCCGGACCTTTAGAAGGCGTACGAGGAGCCGAGGCCAACTCGCAGAGGCCCGTTGAACAGTTTGAATCTAAATGTGATGGGACATCAGCCGGCAATTATCCCTGTATGCACTATAAAAGTGCACCCAAGGACAATCCCCGGTTGATGCAGGACTATTGTGCAAAATGGTAAAAGATTATATGGTTATGCGTGTGGGTGGCTATGGGCTGGTAAATGATAACTATAGAAAAACTATGGCCCTTGCCCCTGACCAATATTGTTACATACAAATAAACAGGCAGGGGGTGACTGGCAAACTCAATTAATGGGCCCCCGGAAACGGCCACTAGCATGTAGCGACACGGGGGCAACATACGTTGAGCTGCTTGGGGAAGGAAAGACATCCCATGGCAAGATCATTATCAGAGCAATCCCGGAAGTTCGGTCAAAACCCCTACCAGCATCTTACTGAGATACATCCTTCCCCCGAGTCTCCTTCAACACCTACTCTTACGAATCTCCACTCAAGCCAGCCAATTAAGGCAAGAATGAGGTAGGAGGGCTTATTCCTCGTCACTGTTCACAGCTAGTCACGGAGACTAACCGGAGATAAAGAACAAGACACCTCCTGGGAGTCAGGTTCGTGAGGTCGCCACTTCCCAACAGCTCTCCCACAAGATGCCTTGCGGATTAACAGATACTTATTATTATGGTTTTAAGTATTTAATAATTATTTAAACGGAACTGAAAGATTACCGAACTATTAACCTGCTCCAAAGATAAATAGTCGAATTTCTACAACAACGACAACAGCAAACTCTATAATAATATACCTAAGCCTTTTTTAAATTTCCCACACTATCCATACTACATACATAGATATATGTGACTGAGTTGCAATCCGCCTTGAGCAAGCGCTGTGATTATCAAATGCACAGTAGGAGACTGTGCATTTGATAAGGTCTGACCCTCTCCGTGAGAGAATAGGCCTTTGCTCAGCAGTGGGCACTTATAGTGATTTCATGTGATCAATATTGGTCTGGGGCACGGGCCAAAGTATTTCCATAGTTATCATATCTACCAGTCCATAGTCACTCACACCCATAACTATACCTAATAGGTACTTTTTACCATTTAATTTTCATAGTAAGTAAGTATACGTAAAGGAATTGCAGGTTTGCAGATTTTCTCTTGACTTTTCCTATATTTTTTTTTTATTTATTTATTTATCATTTTTACAAATATTACAAGATTATTTATATTAAATAGCAACCAAAAAACCACTAAGGTTTAAACATGTGCTATCATGAATCATCTCAAATCGAAAAAAAAAAATTTAGTTACAGTTTTAAAATTAAGTATGTGTTCGTTATTATCGAAATTAATTTATACAATCTTTGTGTCAATCAGTAGGAGAAGACATTCTTAAATAATACTCCATCACCTTCTTGCAATTTGCTATTGGTTTTTGTTACGTATAATTATACGTGTACCTATTTATAGTAAGTAAATAAATGACATAATTATATGAATATCAATTTCCGATACGGATACAGTTAGGCATCATGCGATGTAGGTAAGCTGCCGATAAGGTAACCTAATCGTAGATTGGTAGACAGATTTGCTTTTGTTAATTTAATTAGTACTTACCTACTATTTAGATCCGTTCTCCCTATATTATTATATACGCATCTACAATATGTAGGTCGTAGGTAGGACTACCTACGAGCCTAAGACCTACGTATTGTAGGTGCGTATCGAGGCACCTCAGATGTCAAGGCCCGCTTTTCAAGCATGAAGGGCAAGCTCTTAAACTAGCTACTACTATGTTTCTTTTCCCAGTTATTATTATAGCATAAACCTACCACCACTGGCAAATCTAACGTGAATGTCATTCAGGATCATTCTGACTGACAATTACAAATTATAAGTTTGAAATCGCCAACCCGCCTTTTAGCGAAATAATTTCAGCTCATTCCGTCTTCGTGTGAGAATAGGCGTTTTCCCACCAGTGAGCTAGTTATACACTGATGATGATGGTGATGATATACTGGGCTGGAAGAGCCAAAGCAGAGTGCTTAGATACAAAATAGTCATGCTACTAATTAAGCCTATTTTTTTTAATGGGAATAATCTTTCATTAATTTCTCTCACCTTACGTAGGGCGAGAGGAGAATCAGACTCTTATTGATTAAAAGCAACCCCGTTATTTCTCCTTACTAACTAAAAGCGACTCCTTTATTTCTCCTCCAGTTCAAGCACGCGATGTTATTTTGCTTGAATAAGAACTGTACCGCACTTTGTTACTTATTCTTCTTTAAAACCGTTGCAAGCAACACAAGACCATTTGTAACTGCAACTGTACAATTGGGTAGTTTCCTAGGTCAAAAATAAATAATTTCGACGTTTCAATACAATAAAGTATTGAAAAATAACTATACTTTTATTCATCAATCGACCGGTACACTAAGTTTTAGATTTTTTTAGCTAATTATTCAGAAATAAGTACCTAAGCGATTTGACGCAAAAATGTTATGACGTCAAAACTCAGTTTTCACACAAATATCATAAAAAAGTATAGTTTTTGACGTTTGGATAAAAGTATTGAGTTTGACAGGTTGGAAACTAACGTATTATAAAAAAAACAATCAGGTAGTAACATTTACAATCATTTTATTTACATCAGTACATACAAACATACAACATTAACAAGCTATCGCTTTTAATATTATTTCTCTTAAATGGCTACATATTTTAAGCTGAATGCTTACAAACTATTACAAAAATATGTAACAGATTCTACATATGAAACATTTTTAACAGTTAGATATGGAAGTATAAAATAATAATATGCAGTAGAAAACAAAAATTTAGTTATTTTTTATGCAATCGATTTTAACTCTTATTCCATAAAAATAAGATACATAAAGAGACTAATCTTTTAGAACTGGTTCTTATATGCAGATACCATAAAATTAATTAAATATTTCTTTTTTGAACGCAAAGGAATTGAAATCGCGTCACGTCATGTTTTGTTGTGTGTGTGACTTTAAGTATTATATTGTCTACCTTTTTTTTTATATTTGTAGACAAAGATTCTCTCTATTCAGTCTACAAATTATATCTACCTACATTAAGCCTATTATAATAGGAAAAATAAACAGAGCCAACATTATGAACTCATTTAAAAAATGCAAACATTTAAAAAACACTTATGTGTATTTAATCTACCATAAAAAACGTCTTTGGAAAAGCATTATACATAATATAAATATGAAATTTTCAAAAAGAAATGCATTAATATTGTCAGAACATATGTAACATTAGATTTATGAAAATTTAATTTCATACCCATTTCTTTTGAAAAAAAGAAATATGACTGACATAGACTTGTCCTAAGAAATGTAAAAAGTATTTTAAAAGTCAACCAGCAAATAAAAATAATATAAATATACAAAAATATGGAAAAATATTTATATAAGATAATCTCTCTATTTATAAGTTTAACAGCACAACAAATTACACCTAATGAGATAGAGAATAAGTCCATGCACCGTTGCTTGATGAGTTTCACACGAACTGCGCGCGGATGTATGTGTAGTATGAATATACATCTGCGCATTACGAGACTGCCTCAAGAAGAGTACACTCGCCAGATGTGGGCCATTACAATTATTTTAAGTAGAAATTAGTTTAATGGTTTACTCATAGTGTTGGCTGCGTGACGGTCTCCGTGCGGTGTTTCGGACAAAACTGCGCATGAAAGAAGGCCCTAGTGTCGCTTGAAACTAGTCGGGGCATCTCGCCAAACAGCCATGTATTTAATGCAAAGGCGTTAAACATAATTATTAGTAAAATTATCTTAGAATCTACATGAAACAGTTCACATCAATAGTTGGCTTACATCATTATTTAAGTATTTTAGACATAGCATCACATATTTTACTTATAAGTCTATGGGATAATGTCTGATTGGTTGATATTATATTTTGACAACAATAATATGTATGGAAAACATGTCAGTTGAACTAGCAGAACCTATAAGACATCAATGCATAGTGTTCAAATGGCAATGTAACTATCAAATAATATTTCTGTTTCTAATATCATTTACAAATGTTTGATGTTAACTACAGTATCAGCTATCAGTGCCTAAGCTAAGCCCCTCATTCTAGATAATTATACATACATATGTACATGAGTTTATTTACAAAACATTTAATAGCATCACAATTTAGTTATGTAAGCTTTGAGAGATTTTTATTAAGTTTTCTAATTACCACAGACATTAGAACATTCATTGGCTTTTGGCTTAGCTTTAGTGTGCACACTCAAACAATATCACATATTGTTGGTGTGCCTGCATCCTGTTATTTACGTTTGCGGTTCTCATACTCAATGGCCCTCGCTTCAGACACAATCTGTCTCTCCCTAGTCAAAATACCGTCTAGCTGATCCGTAAAAGCATCAAAGGAGAATTTTGTCTCAAATCTCTTCAATCCAGCCTCACCAAGCTTCTCACCGAGCTCTGGGTTCAGTACCAATTTGCTCATGGCATGTGCAAAAGATTTACTATTTGGTTGGCACAAAAAACCTGTTACTTCATTCACTATTGTCTCCGTTGGTCCACCACTGTTCACAGCAATCACTGGCTTCTTGAAGTACATAGCCTCTAATGGAACAATGCCAAAATGCTCATTTGATGGAGTATACACCAAAGCTCTGCAGTTGTACAACAGAGAGACTTTCTCATCATCTTTGGGAGATTTCATAAATGTTACCTTATCCTCTATATCCAACTCAGCCACTAAATCAGTCAGCTCAATATAATGTTCCATATTCTCTAAATTTATAGGGTCAAATCCTCCTGCCATTATTAAATGCACCCTGTTCCAATCAGCCTCATTCAAAATATGCTTCAAATGCTCAAAAGCTCTTATTGCTAATTGAAGATTCTTCTTCCTCTCATATCTATTTATTGACAAGAATATAAACTTATCAGTCCCCACAGGAACAACCTCCTTCAAAGGTTTTGGTGTTGTCATCTTAAAGTATTCAGTATTTATAGATGGATAGCAAATATCAGGTATTTCTTTGATCCTCTGGAATGCATCCTGGTAAACCCTTGCAGTATATTTACTATTCACTAGGACTTTGTCTGCCTGTGCAGTCGTTAGTTCTTCCAACCAGTTCAGTGGTGCCCTGTACAACTTTTTCAACAACCCTCCTTCAGAAGAGAGTAGTTTATCGGGATGATGACAATAAAACACCACGCGGAATGGTCCTCTAGCCATTTTCAAAAATGGAATGCATAGAGATATGAGGTCGCAGAATATGAGAGTTGGTTCTTCAGTCGGTATCACGTACCATGCCATGTAAACAGCGGCGTACACCATGCGTACATAAGCACACGCAGCTTTGAATCTACCGAATATAGAGCGAGGTATCCAGTCGCCGACCACCGATACAGGAAACGTTCCATCTCGTGTCTCAGCGAAGCAGTGCGTAGGATCGTGATGGTTTGTGTAAAAGGCTACATCGTGGCCTTTATTCTTGAAAGCAAGTGCAGCGTCTAAAACTAACCGTTCAGCACCACCAATACCCAAATCAGGGTGGAGAAAAATTATCTTAACCATTATTACTCTAATTAGTTTTTCACCACGTAATTCGAAATCATTGAACCGTGTTAAATTTGGTTAGATTCGATTTGTAAATACGGCAGAATCGTAAGACAAATAGACAAGTGACACCTTCAACTCAACCTTGAGTGACGTTACTGACATTGCCAACAATGTTGTAAGTTGATAAAAAAAAACGATGAATCAAGTGTTGTCTTTGAAAAAATATTTAAATTCTTTATGTATAAGAAATACACGGCCAACACTTTACAGAGCATGAATTAAGACATTAAAATGCAAAAGCTTTTTCTTTTTAAATATTTATTCATGTTCTGTAAATTTGCCATTTTTTGTTTAATAATTTCCCTAAATATATTGAAAATGATGTATAGAATTTTATAGCAAAAAGGATTTTATAAGTCAGTAAAAGTAAATCCTTAAAAATGTAGCCATTCAAACAATATATTAATTTTCTAATAATTCACTATATGTATATTTAATTCATGGTTTAATGATATCGTTGAAATTCCTTAGATTGCTTATCATGAAAACAGAGCCTGAAAACCACTTGTTTCAATGTTACAATTTTAAGATGTTGTGAAAGATGTTCATGAGTGCATTGTAACATTATTCACTTTTTTACATAAATGTTACTGTTATTATGTACATATATATTTCAGAAAAACAGGAAAAATAAAACACTTATTTCCTTCAGTAGCACACATGTATTCATAAAAAAATTGAGAATTGTGATTATAAAAGTAAAGAATAATTGTTCTTAAATAATATATCAAAACACATCTGAACTTATCACAAAGTAATAAAATAACTACTGAAGTTTATGGGATGAAAAATTAATTATAATTCATCCTTTCTTTCAATCTTAACGAGATCTACATGGAATGTTAATGTTGCAGATTTGGGTATCTTTGGTGGTGCTCCTGCCTCACCATAGGCCAAATGAGGCGGAATGACTAGTTTCCTTTGCTCTCCTTCACACATTCCAATTAAACCTTGGTCCCAGCCCTTAATTACTTGCCCAGAACCAAGTGTGAAGGTTAAAGGGTTCCCTCGTGGAATTGAGCTATCAAATTCGGTCCCATCTTCTAATGTACCCTGAAATATAATAGTTTCATTCATAAACAACCACTTACAGCCAATCTTATGAGAAAATCCAATAACCTAGACAAGACAATATTTTTTGATTAAAGAAACTTTTATGCGTTAAATAGTCACCGTATAATGCATATGAAGAAGGTCACCCTTTTTACTTTTTATCGGACATTCACTAGGCCTTTTCTTAACTCCAATTTGCAATTTTTTAGCAGACGAATCGCCGATAACTACGTGCGATATAACGCTCATAAAAACCAACACAAAAAGTGCAATTTTACATATTGAAATAAATGCAGGCTTCATGTTTTTTGAAGCTATTATAGTTCTTGGTTTAATTGTAAATATTGTTAGAAAGCACGATAATTAAGTATCAATCTAATTCACGCGATTTATTCCAAGCGCAAGTAGTTTATTGTCAATATGACATTTCAGGAAGCAACGTCAAAGATAAAATTTCCTGGGCGTTTTCCTTGATATAACGTCAGCTTACGATAATGTCCAACTTCCAATACTCAGGCAGAAACTGCATCAGCTGAGTGTCCCTGTGAGGCTGGTTAACATCACTTGCAGCTTGCTAATGTCTCGTTATATATCAATTCGACATCAAAATTCCATCTCTTCACCCCGCTTAGTCTGGAAAGGCCTACCCCAGGGTTCGGTCTTAAGCCCTCTCCTTTATAATGTTTATACCCACGACTTAGAATCCTCAATTAGCTGTTTCTGTAAAATCCTTCAATACGCAGATGACATTTCTCTTTATTTCAGTTCGTCCTCTCTTACAGAGGCTTCTTCCCGCTTGAATTCTGCTTTGTTCTATCTAAACCAATGGTTGAATGATCATGGCCTATCCCTATCTGTCCCCAAATGTAACGCTGTAGTATTTTCACGTAAACGTAACATCCCCCCTATTAATCTATATATTGAAGATGAAACCATTTTGATCTGTGACAAAGTTAAATTCCTTGGCATAATTCTGGACTCAAAATTGTCTGGCCTCCATCATCTCGATTACATTAGTAAAAAATGCGAAAAGGGCGTGAATGTCTTACGTGCTCTCTCGGGGGTTCGCTGGGGCGCTCACCCTGCCACCCAAAAAATTTTATATAATGCCATAGTGCGAAGTCATTTCGACTATGGCAGCTTTCTTTTGGAGCCATGCAACAAAATCGCTATGTATAAATTGGACAAAATTCAAGCCAAATGCCTTCGAATCATAACAGGTGCCATGAAATGCTCTCCCTCAAATGCCCTACAGGTTGAATGCCTGGATCCTCCTCTTTCCTTACGCAGACAATTCCTCGCAGACAGATTTTTTTTCAAAGTCATCCAAATCAAATCCCACCCCCTTCTTCCCCTCTTACAAACTCTTTGTGAACTAGTCCAGTCTTCCCGCTACTGGTCCCACAAAGATCCCCCTCTTCTTGTTAATAGTTACCGATCAACCCAGGACTTGCCCATCTCTTTATGCCAGTCTAATTTCAACCCGCTTTTTGAAGTTAGTTTCGAATCACTGATTTTTCAACCAAAGGTTATTTTTAGTCTTGGCATTTGCAAAAACGACCCCGGTGCCAATAACAAGTTAAATAAGATTTTAACGGAGGACTGGCCAGATTGGCTCACTATGTTTACAGACGCGTCCAAAATTTCAGAAGACAGTATTGTGGGTGCTGCTGTTTGGATACCAAAATATAAAATTATTTTAAATTTTAAAGTTTCTTCTCAGTCCTCTATTTTTTCTGGGGAAGCAATCGCTTTATTAGAAGCGGTCAAATATGCGGAATCCCACAGTCTAAACAAAACTTTAATTCTTTCGGACTCTTTAAGTTGTTTGCAGGACCTTGTTAAATCCCCTTTTCGCTCTCGTTATAATTTCCCTCCAATCCTCCAGATCAAGCAGCTTTTATATAAATGCCACACGTCAGGTATACAAGTTGTTTTTGCTTGGATCCCTAGTCACTCAGGAATTGTGGGCAATGATAACGCTGACTCGCTTGCCAAGGCAGCAATTCACTGCGGTGTGGACTCTTACCTCAAAATTTGTTTTCCTCGGGATCTGTGTTGTACTGCCAAACCCGCTATGACGAAGAGTTGGGATTCCCTTTGGCAAAAGACACGAAAAGTCAAAGGCAAATTCTTCGGCACTATCCAACCGTCTATTCCCCATAAAACCTGGTTTGGTAAATACAAACACCTTGACAAATTAACTACCTCTGTCATCATTCGGTTAAGGCTAGGTTTTGTATGCTCACCTGTCTTTCTAGCTAAAATCAGAGTAAGAGATCATTCTATCTGTGAATGTGGTTTGGAAGAGGGTACTCTGGAACACTTATTTTTTTCATGTCCTCGCCTGATCACCCCTCTTTATGATCTCCTCCCTAATGATATCCCCCGTCCAATAAATATCCCATTCCTATTAACCCTAGTCCATTCCCCCATGGTAAAGATCCTATACAAATTTATCAATATAAATCACATCCGACTTTAACACTTGTCTTTGTACATAGTCTTTTACATTTTCCTTATTATAACATATTCCCTTTCCTTATTCTTCATTTAGTTTTAACCTAAACATCTACTTTCCACTCCCCTTCGTTTTGTGTCTTAACCCTTGTGTCGTTAAAACTAACAAATTGTTTTGTCCTTTTCCAGCACTACAAACATCACTGATTACCGGTCATTAGTTACCTACATTACTTTCGTTTTTTTTTACACCGATCACAGTGTCATTTCCTACCTCGAAGTTGGCAAAATCTTCGAATGACGAAGGAGCCATAAACAAAAAGAAGAAGAAGAAGAAGAAGATAAAATTTAGTTTTCAACCTAACCAGCGATATTTTGAATATTTTTATCATGATTACATAGACAATTAGTATTATTAAGCAGTTACAGCTCTAAACTACTTCGGAGTTTTTCGTCATTCTGCTTTTAGTCCGTCTCCAATGGGGTGTATGACCTCTGTCTGTCATTGTCAATATTGTCATTGAGTGCTAAAAAAGATAAATAAACAAATATTATAAAAAATAAATTGATTTAAGATTTATTAATGTGTAATTTGTAAATAGTAATAAATTAATAATTAAATAGGATTATAATATATTCTTTTCAACATGTCGTTCAATGACCATGAATTACATAAATACCAAAAATTCCTGCTAAATAGACAGTCATCATATTCAAAACTTGCCGAAAGTATTGAAAATTGTTTAAAAAGCGAAGATAAGGTGGCAAAACACTTTATGCATAAAGTTATGGTAGGTTTTATTAACCAATTTTGATCCTGTTCTTTTGATTTAATATAAAATGAATTTTTGGTTTTATTAACCAATTTTGATCCTGTTCTCTTGATTTAATATAAAATGAATGAATACTCTCTGGTCTGAAATGGAAAATATCTTTACTGTACATCATTTAATAAATCTTTCAGCATGTATTGTACAACAGAAAGTGATACTTCAAATTTAAATAATAATAAAATTCATTCTTCAATCAATAATTAGGACATCTTAAAACACCTGTCTATACATTTTTCCTTCTTTTCCACAGATACACAATTGGCAACACACTTTACACCAGTTATTTGATAGAATGCATACATACTTTGGAGTAGCAATAATTCCAATAAATTGTTCAACGCAGGGTGACATTGCTACCTTCTACACCTCCAGTTTGACTGTCATATCTGAAATAATCAAGTTTGACTTTATGTTTCCGTATTGTCGGACCATGTACAACATAGACATTTTATTCTGTGACAAAACTTCTATGGACTTCTTCGGGAAAATGATTACAGTTGATGATATTGTAAACGGTGTTGTCAGTCAAAGATTCAATGAATTGTGTGAGCTAGATTTATCTAACTTCTGCGATGATAATGGTAAGTTGAGAGAACCAGATATTATTGTGATTTTATAATGGACAGACAGACAGACACACTGGTTATTGATGTACATAATATAGTGTTAATTATAAACTGTAAACTTTATGTCAGCAATAAAGGCTGTATTTTTTATTGATCATAATGGAAATCAATTTAATTTTCTCAAGATTTTTTCTAATAATCATGGTATAAATTACCTATAAAAAAATAAAATTTAATAAGCATACTAAAATTATTTCCAGAGTTTACCAGTAAAAGAATATTTTTCTACAAAATCTCTTTACTTGCTAATTTTAAAATATTAATGCTGAGAATGGGAAGGGACACGAAGATATTAAATTTAAGCCATAATAATTTAAGGTAAGTAGAAAATTTGGAACATTCAAACTTAAAAGGAAAATAATTATATTATTAAAATTAAAATAAAAATAGTTATATTATTTTCTTTTTATGTATTTTCAGTATGTTACATTAATTTTAGTAAATATTGTGTTGATATGTCCTACCAATTATCTTGCTTTTTATTTATTATAAAATAAGGGGTATGACCATGAATAGACCGAAATACGATTCCCATTTTTTTCTATTAAAGTTGACATTTCATTAATTATAATGTGGGCTGTGTGTGTCATATAAAACAATTTACCATTTCAGTGTAGTACCACTGGATGTGCTGAACTTCTTCATAAAGGCAGATTTATCTGCTGTGAACTTAAGCTACAACAGTGTAAGTATTTATAAGAATAGCTGCTATTTATTTAATCATTCACCACCAGTCTTTTTTGGTGGTGGTCAGGTCAGGTTAATTAACTGATAAAAGCTATACCTACCTGTTTTAAGTCACATTGTAACTAGTAGAGCTTTTAGGGCTTAACTGATTTAATTCACGTGAGAAGTAGGTGGCTACGGTACCTAATACTATGGGGCAATAGCACAAATTCACACACAGCATTCAACCTGCAGAAAAACGAATCTCAGTAATTGCAAATATTGAACAAATAGATAGCTGCAACCCATACAATTTGGGTAGTTTCCTAGGTCAAAAATAAATTAATTCGACATTTCAATACAATAAAATATTGATAAATAACTATATGTTGATTCATCGATCGATCGATAAACTAAATTTTAGATATTTTTTAGCAAATTATTAAGAAATAAGTAAGCTATTTGACGCAAAAATACTATGACGTCATAACTCAGTGTTTCATACAAATTTCATCGAAAAGTATTGTTTTTGACAATTGGATAAAAGTATTGAATTTGACTAGGTAGTTGGAAACTACCGTATTACCCTGACCTGCCTATACTTACATCTTAGAAACATGTAAATTTGATCGACATTATCCAGATATAAGTTATGGTTACGGTAATAATAATATATGTATAATCGGTATTGGTAACTTTTACAGATTCCTTCAATTTCCGAATTGGCAAGAGTGAGCAGTAAGATAGAAAAACTTTGGTTGGAGGGGAATCCTTTGTGCGCGGAATTGGATGCAGTGTCCTATGTCAAAACAGTTACTATGAAGTTTCCAAGACTAACTGAACTGGTGAATATTTAGTTCTGTCTATTTTATCTAATCAGAATTAGGCTGCCTCGTTTTCATTTCATTTTCACTACGCAATAATAAAACTGTTGATTGATTTTATTGTTAAATAAATATGCTGTCAAAATTAAAAAAGACGATTTAGCACTGGCCATGCTTGATGATTAGCTCGAATAGTTCAATCCTTCCCAGACCTCTACCCTTCCTTAACCCCATAATCCCAAAACTCTTAATCCCCAAAAGGCCATCCACGCACTGCACCCCGCTGGTGTTGAGCGTGAATATTAGCCGCCGTATCACATAAAAGATATATAACAATATGTATTGTAATAGAGTCTGAAATCATATCATAAAAACTTGTTGAGCCACAACATATGAAAATTAATAAAAACACAATATGTGAATGGAATAGAATTCTGTTTTTATTTCAGTGTAAAAAAATTTTCAATGCGTCTTTTTTCAGGACGGTGTGCCTTTAAATCAGAACGGCATAGTGTATCCATTCTACAGAAACTATCTGTGTGCTTCGGAGAGAAAAACTAAGATGTTAGTTGAAAAGTTCGTGACTTTATATTTCTCAAACTATGACCAGCCGCCCAAGATACGTAAGAGGAAGATTGAACCACTGTATGATGAGAATGCTGTGTTTACATTGACATGTGACTTGCCCGGTGAGTTGTAGTCACATTTTGTAATATCAATATTATGTATCATGTGCTTTGCTGTGTATTAAAACTGCGATTTTTAATGAGTTATTCTAGCTAGCCATGCGTGCCAGCTATGGGCACTAAACAATTTAAATGTTAGAACTGCGACGATGCGAGCCTCCAAACTTTGCTCAGGTAGTCGCAGAAAAAAGGGGTTTCAATTTTGATGTAATCAAGTCAATTTTTCGAAAGTTCTTAATGAAGCTTGGATTTTTTGGACTCTGACTTTCCATGCGAGACTCATATCAAAAGTTGTAACTAGTGGTTATGACATTCTCATGCATGAAATTTTGTGTTAATAAGGTCACATAAACAGGTAAATTACATATTAATTGTTCTCAATTCCAGAAACGGACAAGATGAACTACCACTATACACAATGTTCCCGCAACATGTTGTACCCATCAAAACGAGCGCAATACGTGCAGAGAGCAAAAACTTACACTAGTAAACAGAACATTAGCAATATCCTATCGACTTTCCCTGAAACACTGCACGATAGGAGCACTTTCACCGTCGATGTTCTGGCACACAGTGTGAGTAATGAACGTAATCAGTTACATGTATTTTATTTCTTAATTATTATTACCTCGCTGTTGTTATGGTATCATGGTCGTGACCGCGTCGGTCAAGCAATGGTCTCCAGTATTGTTAGAAATCATATTTTCAATAAGATTTTCACATAAACAGGTCTTCACACAAACTTTAAAATTATCAAGAATATTTCAGGAATGTACTAAATCAGTTTTCAGACCAAGTTTTATTAACCTTTTGACTGCCCGAATGCAGATGTATCAATGCCTCTATCACGCCAAGCCTTAAATTCAACGCCTTTGTTATTCATTTAAATACCCACAAAAAATAGGTATTCTAACATCTTCATCAATAGTTAATTTATCAATGCTTTTTGACATTTATATTTTTTAAATAAAATATTACTTGTAATATTTCCATTACCAGTTTTTCATGATTGTTTTTTGTACATGTAAATGTTAATAGGTAATGAATTTATCTTTGTGCCATTTTACAATATTTAATTAATGTAGTTCTCAATAATAAGTGAAAGAAACACTGAAAATTTAATTTAGAATATTTAATTTCGTAATTAAAAAATAATCGTTTTCTTGACAGCTACAGACGTTGGTGACATGTTTGCCACAATTTCGTTTTCGGCTAATAGCCGTCCGTGGCGATCAAGATTCAAAATAGATTCGGTGGTCTCCATGATTTTTTAACTTGAAGTTTGTACGAAAACCTCTGCTGCCTAAATACCCTTATGTATTAGCACAGGATTCGGAAGTAAACTGCTTGCGTTGTATAAAATCATGCGCTTCTCTGACTCCCAGCATCAAAAGATGTGACTTTGTTTTCCTATAAAAAATATAATTTTTTCTTAGCGTTTCTGTTGCCTTTTTCCAAATATTGCGACCACCTACTGGTAACGGGCAGCGGCGTACTTTAACATTTGTCGACCAACTCCGGTTCCCAGCAAGTGCAGGGATTTTTATATGAGTAGAATAGAATAGAATTGAATTTTTATTTTGCAAATATATCCACATTTTAGCATTCGGCGTACAAACATTTAAAATTATATATATTATATGAGTATTACACTGGATCAAATTAAAAATTATTAGATCATATTGATATCATGCCAATACTATAGAGAATATTATTATTACAATTAAAAATGCCATAGAAACAAATAAGAAGGGTCATAAAATCAATAAAAAAACGTAAAAAGTCAATTGTTATTAAGAATGTTAAAAATCAAAATGTGTAAATTAAAAATATGTCAAAAATGTAAAAGTCAAAAATCAAATGTCAAAAAAAATTCAAAATTCAAAAGATATAACCACAAGATTTCCAAAATCAATATGTCACAAATTAATAAATATGTTTCTCCGATAGGAACTCAGTTACACTTTAGTAAGTTTTCTCTAATAAACATTTTGGTAATCTAGTCTTAAACTGTATTTAAAGCTTTCCAAACTTTCAGTAACTTAACTGTAAATAATTGGGGTCATGCAATAGACGCTCCTACGCATTAGAGTTTTCCGACACGAGACTTGGCATAGCTTGCTGTTGTCACGCTTATTCCTTGGGAATACATCAGCCAGGCGTTGAAAACGTGATGGATTTTGCTTAAAAAACATGGCTACTTCAAAAATATATAAATATACAGGGAAGTGTCAAGATTTTATGTAGCTTAAAATAGGGCACACAACTGTCTGTCGATTTAATTTTGAATATTGATCGAATACATCTTTTTTGGGACTTAAAAGCAATATCTCGATTAGTTGAGTTCCCCCAGAAAATGATACCGTAGCGCAAGTGTGATTCAACTATTCCATAGTAAGCCGTAAGACGTGTTTTGACATCTACTATAGAGGATAATCTGTATAACACATATGCGGATGAACTCATTTTTTTACACAAACTATCTATATGTGCCTTCCACTTTAAATTGCAATCAATTTGTAATCCTAAAAATTTTGTATCCTCTACTTCCTCAATTTTGTTATTATTGTAATGTATATTAATATTAGTGCCGCCGTGAGTACGTTGTCTAAAGTGCATTTTTTTATCTTACCTAAATTCATATTTAAATTATTTTCGTCTAGCCATTTAATTAGTGCGCCAAGAAAATTATTTATGTCAGTTACATATGTATTTGTACTTTTACAAGGGTTTGTTACTGTGTTAGCGTCTGCAAACATAGCCATATGATGTTCAAGTTATTAAGCATCAAAAAGCAGACATATCACCTAAAGAAAAGCAATCGTTATCGCCTATAGACACCCCCAACAAGAAAGGAGCATATAGCAATTTGCGATTTGATGAAAGGGGATTAGAGATTAAGGCAATTCCCCTGTTTACTGTTAGAGATAGGTATTTATGTTCACCAGTAGACATATTCCAGTTTCTGCATCATGGCATTAAGAGGGAATAGATTTACTTGAATGAGACAATAAAATAATGAGTATGTTTAACGGCTCCCACGATACTTTATGGGCGATATAACTCGACTAACTTAAAGCCACGTTTAGGGCTCATATTCAAGTGTCTAACTTGGCATAGAGAACTAAAGATGATGATTATATCTAATAATTAGTTTTCATATTTAATTTTTTTTTTTGTTTCACAGAATAAAACACTTCACTTAATTATTGATGGAATTTTCAAAGAAAAGTTCACCGGTATTACTTTTCAATTCAGAAGGACATTTATATTCACTATCTACACAGTTAAGGATAACTCCTTATACCATATTACGAATGATATGTACACCATTACATTTCCTAGTCAGGAAATGATAAGTGCAAGCTTTCTGGTACGTACCTCATTACGTCTTAAGCTTTAGTAACTGTTGAAATTAATTAATCGATACAATATTTTTTCGTATAAAGTCGTCTAAACGACTTTAATCAGACAGAGTGTCTAGTGCAAGTTTGCTTTATTTTAATGCGATATGTTTATGACGTTCAGCTGTCTGATTGGCTTGCTCCAAGTTAACCAACCAATCAGAGAGCTTAACGCGCTACCTTCTCGATCGTGTTAACGCGTAGAAACTTTTTAATAGGGTAGTTTCTGGTTGTATACTTGAATTAAATTCACTACTTTTTCTGAAATGTCAAAACGTCATTTTCCTGTAAATTTTGTATAAGTAATAACGCTGTGACATCATATTTTTACGTTATTTGAAGTTCTTAGCATAATTATTTCTCTTCAATCATCTAAAAAGAATAATAAATTAAGGTATAATTGATTTAAATTGTTTTGGTTTCATTAGCACGATGTCTTTTATTGAGGAAACTACCTTATTATCCGCAAAGCATGGTTTACCTTTTCTGTAAAGCACCTTCATCCAGTCACAGAACAATATTTATCTTAAAATAGGAATTAAATACAATTTGTTTTATTTATTTCAGCATCCAGTAAGGAATATGAATTCTTTATCACTTATAAATCCTACCCCTGAAGAGTGTGACGCATTAATTAACGCTTTCCAACAACTTACGCAATTGAGGAAAACTGAAGTTGAATTGTGAGTACCTCTTCTTTCTAATCTGGATAAGAAAGAAATTTTTGTGTAATAAGTTCATTCACTGTACACTCTTAAAATACTGTAGTCATTTTTTTAACATAATGGCATAACACAATATTTGTCTAGTAAATTGTAAACTAATAAACGCTTACTATGGCATCGAAATTGAATTGCAAGCAATAACCAGGATCCATACAAAAAAAAAATTTTTTTTCAATTTTCAAATACTTCAATCTTTCTCATTCCACTTCTTAGTTATCCGGCGTAATCAATGCTATTATATATTATATATTATATATATATATTATATCTAAGTTAAGGCTCCCTGAGAAGGTATCACAACCATAACACATAATTTCTATAAAGTAAATGACTCACTCAGGACAACCCTAGGGCTTCGAAACTCGACTCACACCCTAATGACCCCATTAGGACAGGTCGTAAGTACAGGTTGGACCCGAGGGTATTTGAAGCTAGTATTGATGTTCCATCTTTTGACTAGAGAGGGGTACTTTAGTTACCTTAACTTACAACTGGACAATAATATTATTCTTTATTTCAGGCGATTAAAATACCACAGCTGGGATATAAGGGATGCGCTAAAAAGCTTTATGGCAGATGCAAAAACAAAAAATATGCCGTCAGATTTGTTTATGGATTCTGATTTTTCTGACAGTTCGTCACTATTAGATGAAGTTGATTAATAACAAAATAAAATTATTGAATATTTTAAAGGTGTCTTTCATTTGTTTTCATAGAAAATCATTTTTATAAAAAGATTGATCTCCAATTTTGATATATTGCGTGTAGTTTTTTTATGAGGTACGTAGGCAAACGAGCTGACCTGGTGATAAGCAATCGGAGCTGACCTGGTGATAAGCAATCGGTGCCGCCCATGGTAACCCGCGACAACAAAACAGTTACGAGTGCCGTGCCGTCCTTTTGGGGATAAGGGTTTGGGATATTTAGGAATTGGGAAGGGATGGGATTTTTTTTTATATATTTTTTATTTTATTTTATGTGATAGGTCGGCAAACGAGCAGACTGATAACCTGATGGTAAGCAATCAGCGCCGCCCATGGACACCCGCAACGGAGGAGTTACAAGGATTAGGAATTTGGAGATTTAGGGATTAAGGAGGGAATGGGGGAGGGAAAGGATTGGGCCTCCGGTAACCTCAGTCACGCGGCGAAACGCAACGCTGTGGTTACTTCACGCCGGTTTCCTGTGAGGCCGTGGTATCACTCCGGTCTAGCCGACCCATTCGTGCCGAAACATGGCTCTCCCGCACTTAATAAAGGGGATGGATTGGGCCTCCCGTCGCCTTACTCACATGACAAAACATAATGCTGTGGCTGTTTCGTGCCTGGTATTACTCCGGTCAAGCCGACCCATTCGTGCCGAAGCTTGGCTCTCCCACACTCAAATAGTTACTAAGATTTTTTTGCATCCTTTCGAATATAATTATTCTTAGCATAAAAAAATTGTATGTACACACAAGTTATTAGTATTTTATATTAGTTTCAACATTACAAACTCCAACCAAGAGCCAGCCCAACCAGCCCTTTGTCCAATAGCCATGTTCGTGATCGCTCGACTAGAAGTTTATAAAAACCAGATTGTATTGTATATTTCACTGCCAAACCATAATCATAAAACAAATAATAAAAACATTAGTACAATAATTCGTTTCAAATTTAACAAGCAATTTAGGCGATTTGGTTAAATAGTCGAATAGTATTATTAAATTTTGTCCAGTATCTAAACTGTACACCACCTCTTTCTCTCTATTGTCCGTGGAATTGTCAATGTCAATTGGTGAAATCGTCACTCGTGCGTGTTTTGCAACAAAGCATTGAAACCATTTATTAAAAATAACAATTCGATTCGAACTGTAATCAAAAGTCTAGATTGATTTTATAAAACAAATTGGTATTATTTCACTATGGCTAATAATTCTATGGGACAGGGTGCTAATATGCCGACGATAGGTACGATAAACCAGGGAGCTATACAGTACGTAAACAATCCGATTCAAAGTCCTCAGCTACAGGCTAGTTCGATCCAGGGCTCACCATCACAGCACAGTCCCATGGGTACACAGTCACAAGTTGGAGCTAAAGCCAACCAGAGCGGCGGTGGAGATCAGACTACACAGGTATACACAAATCTTGTTCAATTAGCTACGTTATTTAACTTCAACCCACTTGTGGTCTTTCGAGGCGTACCAGGTAACCAAGTCGCGTATTTTAAAAATATGTCGTCCTTGTTTTGTACAAATTCATTATTATTATAGATATTTACAAGTACCTAGTGTTGAAAAATATTTACGACACTAATATCATAATCTACTTGACATTAAAATATGCAAATATCTTACTAATATTATAATTGTGAAAGTTACGATGTTTGGACATACTGGCACAGGCATAGGAAACACAGTGACAACAACATAGGGATAAGACAGGCTACTTTTATTAACATACCAAGCTCCCGCTTGTAGTACCTACAGGTGGAAGCTATTATTTTCATAATTTGAGAAATCAGTGTAACAACATATTTTTTACCCGACTAGAATACTGAAAGGCGCAGAAATACTTGTTTTATACTTTTTCAGCATCAGTTTTTGTCATAGTTGGGTTTTAGTTTTTACACTTTTTATATTTTCTAAACAGGCTTCTCTATGTAACAAACCATCTTGATATAAGTTTAAATAATATATTTTCTATACCAACAACTATATGCAATTCCAGCTGCTCAGCCGGCCCCGTCTTCAAGAGCTGGTCCGTGAGGTGGATCCCACAGTACAGCTTGATGAAGAAGTGGAAGAGATGCTTCTGCAGCTTGCCGATGATTTTATTGACACAACTCTGAATGCTGCTTGTGCCATGGCCAAGCACAGACATGCTCCCAATGTGGAGTTGAAGGATGTCCAACTACATTTGGGTAGGTGTAAATGAAACTACATAATTTTTAAATGCAAGAAAAGTGATATGGTTGTTGTGGATTCTTTACACAATTCATCTGATGAAACAGAAAAGCAAATAAAATTAAGATTTATTTTACTGATAAAAACCATGTTCCACTAGAGTTATATATCTAATATAAACAAAATAATGTTATTGATAAGGATGACAATAGGTTTGGTTACGGTAAATGGCAAAAGAATTTTCAACAGTATGAACTGATATGGCAAAACTCTTCTTTTCATTATTTCTCTTCATAAGCTTATAATATAAATGAATCAAGATTCATAATCAAATAAAAAACTTTCTAATATTTCAGAACGACAATGGAACATGTGGATCCCAGGATTTGGTAATGATGAACTTCGGCCGTACAAGCGTGCAGCTGTCACTGAAGCACACAGGCAGCGCATGGCGCTCATCCGCAAAACCATCAAAAAGTACTAATACATATAAATGTTGTCTATCGTTTTTATTTATAAATGTTTAGGTTATGTTCTTGATTAAGTTGTAATTAGGTTAAGATTGATTAAAGAAATTTCAAAATTTTTCGAAATTTCTGTGTTTTTGTCGTTCATTGGTGAAAATTAAAAGCCAGATGTTCCTGAGTATTTGTTCTCAGCATCGGCTAAAACAATTAATTCATCATATCCCAGACTATAATCTATAGGTACCTATGCTGAATATCATTTATATCTAAGCAGAAGTTTTGTGATCTGTATTCCACGCAGAACGGAAGAGCAAATTCGATGACGATTAAGTTCTTTTTTTTAAACGGAGCAACAATATGTGGAACACAATGAGTTGTACCATGCGGGAGTCAAACCCACGATACTGACGACACATGCCAGTTCGGTTACCAAGTCATAATGTCAACAATGCAGTCAAACTATAGTGAAAATCACTTAAATCAAGTCTCGTTGTCATTAGAAACTAACTAATAGATGTGAAACTAATATAACGAAATGTGAACTAATTATTACATAGGTATTTTCCTCTGCAGCGCTTGTCGGTTTGTTGTGCTTGACACCTGTAACTATGTACCTAGGTATCCTAATATAAGTTGTGTATAATAAAGTGTATAATAGATATAGATACTCTACTATAAAGTGTATAATAGATATAGATACTCTAGCAACATACTATATTGAACGTACTGGTATATTAGCTTGTGGCGAAACAATTGATGTGCTAGAATGCGATCTATAATAAATATCCTACACATTCAATGTTGCTTGCATTCGGTGCTACGTTTAGTGCCCCGCATATATTATGTATAGTGTACTCTGTGCTGCCCCGTAACATTTGAAATGTGGCTTTTAGATTAAATTATGTACACAAGTAGGTAGGTACATACCTATCTATTAACAAAGATAAATCATTTATTTAAAATAGACCATAATAGAATAATATATCACAAAGTTCAACTTTGTGTGTCAGTGTGTCGGTCTGTCCTCTAGTGAAGCTACTTGCTCGTTCTAAAGTGAAGATTCCTATGGAGAAGAACAAGCAAGATACTTTATGGCTACACTTTTCTAAGTTTCACAAAAACTCTCTTTGTAACATCATGTTAGTCGGTTCTATTATATGAGAACAGTGTCAGTGTAACATTTAGGTATATGTAGCCAAAGAATCCGAAAAAGAAATTAACCTCAAGGGAAAATATTTAGACAGTCTCAAGTTGACCAGTCCCATTTGACGGCGCTCGTTCACGAACATGACACATACCACCCAACTCAGCCTTATTATTGGGAATTGATCGATACAGTGCCCGTGACACCGCCAATGATGAGACCTCTGAGTGAGCATGAAAACTCAACTGACACAAGTACATAATATATTCTACAAGTCTAGTTTAATTATAATCACTTCTTTGTTACTTTTGACATTTGGTAAAATAACTCTAATGCATTTTGCTTTTTTATCGTTGAGTACCAAGTTTTCCTATATAAACCAATTTTGAACCTTCATTAAATTAATATTTTAAAAACCAATAATGTGTCAGCGAATGCCATATGCGATTCATTTGGAATAGGCAGATATACCAAAAATAGGAATGGACCTAATATTGAACCCTGCGGTACGCCCATAGAAATGCTAGCACCTCTTGAGTTTACCTTTGTTTACTTGGTAGGTAAGGTAATGTAAAAAATACATGTTGATACATATAGGTAATGAATTAAAAAACAATATTTTAAGACACGATTTATTTAAATTATTGTGATAATAATAATAAACACAAAATTCACAATGAACATGACAAAACTGAAAAAAATCACAAATAAATCACTTACTTAATTTTAAGTAAAAAAAATGGTCATAAATAGTATTAAAATACTTATGTTGCACATAAACATTGAAAAGTATTATTGATTATATAGGTAGGTACTTACTTACCTACATATTATTCTTATTGGTAACTGGAATTGCAACTTTAAATTGAATCTTGAACTTCATAAATTATTGCCAGTAAAAATACATTTATACAATGTCACTATTCTGTCTAGGTAAGTCATTTTTACAATAAGTTAATACACACAAAATATTTAATGAAAGGAAGTATACAGAAATGTTTTGGAATGCATAAATACTAATATCAATACTAGAAGACACCCATTTTTTAATGAATTTACGACCAATATGATTCTATAGCCAATATATAATGTCTAACAGGCAAATTATTTTTTTACTATACTAAATTACCCTAAGTCATGGCTAAGCCACATAGCTTTTGTGATTTAAGTTTTAAAACGATCGTAAATTATTAAGTGTTTATCTAAACAAAATCTAGGACTTATAGCTAACATATTTGTTTTTATTAATCTGTCATAGGCTTGCCACTATAAAAAAGTATCTCGAAAAAAAAAATGTTTTGTTTACTAGTGTGACACGTCAAATAATCTTATCCTAAAAACATAAAAAATATGATCTTCAATTAAATACGCTCGACATCATCACATGTAATCTTAATTAAGTACACGAATTAAACATTTTAAGTAATTAATACACGAACATCCTAATAAAAGACCGTTGAAATAAATAAACGTCAAACTATCTGTCACTGCCACATTTGACAGTTTGATTCATTTTAACACAGATAAAAAATAGCTTAACGTCTATTTACCTCAGCATACCAGTCTCTATATTTTCAGTTCAATTTGCCTAAAAAAAGTAAAAATTGCTTTTGTTCTAATACTTGTTGCAATTAAGTGACTCACAGCACTTTATAAAATACTTGATAGGTTTATATCAAGCGCAGACTGATCATCTTTTTGTCAGTCTGTGGTGTTTGTAGAATAATTAGCTAAATTTATAGCATCAGGCAATTTGATTTAAAAGCTGGTGTTTATGCTATTATAAGGTGTTACAGTTCTACTGTTCTACCATACAACCGACAGTTTAACATTTTGCGGATCTTAGCCACGTGCTATGAATAGCGGATTATACTTTGCAGGCCGTGTCTTGAGACGGGATGAAGAGATGGTCTGAAGGGCTGATTTTCTTCCAGTGAAGAGACTTAGACTGGATCGTCACAGGTTCCTGGAAAAAAGAGAAATAATGTTACTTACTACTTCAAAATATATTGGTATTGTGAAGTAAATTTTCTTGTGTTGAGATCATTTATTTGTAGCATTTACATTCTAATAATTATACAATTCATGCCCAAAATATAAACGTCTTGTACTTAGATACCTTACGACTAACAAACACTGATTCATAACAAAAACATTACGCCACCTGCCACCTGGTTCTTACAACGTAACTTGACGAGTTGGCTACTCATCCTTTTACGATAGGTACCTACATAGAGCTTAGTGAACCATATTGCACTACTTTATTGCCATTATCATAATGATAAAACATGATGAAATACATTAGACATATTAGGAATAGGATGTTCTAATTCTCGTGGTTTATTAGCTCACGCACAAAGTGGGCCATGTTTTTAAGTGTGGGAGAGCCATGCTACGGCACGAATGGGTCGGCTCGACCGAAGTGATACCACGGCCTCACAGAAAACCGGCGCGAAACAACCACAGCGTTGTGTTTCGCCCGTGGTAAGGTTACCGGAGGCCCAAACCTTCCCCTCTCCTAATCCCTAAATCTCCAAATCCCTAATCCCCAAAAGACGGCAACGCACTCGTAACTCCTCTGTTGCGGGTGTCAATGGGCGACGCTGATTGCTTACCATCAGCTAATGCGTCTGCTCGTTTTCCAAACTATTACATAAAAAAACGTAGTAGGATATACTAGCCCTGTAACCTAATTAAAAATAATATTTCCTACATTGACAAAAGGCGATATTAACAATACCTTCGGTTCAAATAATTTTTAATTCCTAGGTAATAATGTATACACAGTGTCTGTATGAGAAAGGAACCATTGTGGGAACACTAAACCAAACTTGAAAACCGAAAAAGTAAATAAATCAACAATACATGAGTCTGTGATAATCATAAAACGACTATCATAAAAGGCAGCTCAAACAAAATAATTCGAGTCACATCTACAATGATAAAATAATTTCATTTATTTTGTAAACCTCGCATATTTTTTGCATTTCACGACACCAAGAATGGGACCCCCAAAATTGACGTCTCAATCAATCGGTTCCATGGTGTAATGGTTAGCACTCTGGACTTTGAATCCAGCGATCCGAGTTCAAATCTCGGTGGAACCTGCTATCTCTTTTTGTTGATGTTTTGAATATTCTTTACAAGTAATACGATAAGCGAGTTGGTTTTCTAGGTACATTTGCAAATAAAACGGAATAAATTGTTGTGAAACTTTAGTGCGTAGTGTCTAATGTTTAATGAATGGATATTGTCCTACTTTGTATTGTTGGCGGTTACAGCTAGCATTGTTTACATACAATAATTTCCTGCAATTATTTGAATGGACCTAATGACTTACTTTATTTACAATTATAAAATGTTTCAAATTTTCAAGAAAACTAAGTAGTTGATAAAGTAAAAAAAAACACTAGGTACCTATCGAATGACGTAATTTCATTCGAATCAATCAGGCCGTTTCCGAGATATTATAAAATGTACCTAAGTATCTTCATATCCATCTCAGACCTAACAAGTTGCTACCAAGAAAAATACCGGTAATTCTGTATTCTGAGACCGATAATAACGTTCCATTTTCTCGTTTTATCTCTTTCTTTTTAAAGTTGAAATTCGCAACGATTGATACATTTTTTTACACATAAAATTTATGGATTTTGCGGTCTATTACATACAATCAAACCAGACGTGGGATTTTCTAGCAAGTTATTCTGCACTATCATAATAAAAATAAGTTGCATTTAATATTTTTTATTATCTACCTCCTACTTAAGTGTAATAAATGTTTTAAAAATATAGAATAAATACGTGCGATTTATCGTTTAATCTATGTAATCACAAGATGTAGAAAAATAGCCAGTAAGTCGTGATCGATATTCGTGACTTCGCTATTGATAATTGCTATATTATTTTAAGATTAATTAATGAAATCCTCGTACATTTAATATTAATAGATAGATTCTACTTTAATCTAGCTTTTTCGGCTTAAAATGAATTGTTGTAAAACCTCAAAGACCAAGGTTACCTCAACGTTTTTTTTTTCTTTATAACTAAAGACCTAAATTAAGTGTAGAGGTGCTATCCTATCGTTAGCTACGGTTTCTAGTAATTTTCTTAACAATTTTCCTTAATTATCTATAAACTACGTTCGCCAAAGGTCATGAGGTCCTTCGGTAGACGGATAGGAAATTTCAAAGCAAATTAACTTCAAAGACGCCTGATAATTTTACACCGCTAATATATTTTAGTTTTCCTTTTAGAAAATGTTTATTTGTCGACATAACCTACACAGATATAATAGTAGTAGAAGCCACACATAATTCAATAATAACCAAACATAATTCAATAATAAAATCTTGATATACATAAAAGGTTTATTATCTTGGTTTTATTAGTGGGGAAATCGAACACAACCCGATTTGAATTATACCAGTGTCACCTGCCACTAATTGGACTCCCACATTTCAGGGTAAATAAAAGCATGTCACTAGAACTATTTGCGCATGACGGGCACGAGTGCTAGCCGTGCTAGACTAGACGGTCGATATCGATTTGGATGTTCTTGCTAGCACTAAGTTGTTACTGAGTCATTAGTTCTACCTCCTCGATGCACTTGTTAGCATGGTAACAAAACATGGACTTATTGACGACACTATAGATTTTTTACATATATTCCAGTCATTATGACAATCGAAATATTATGACTGGCACTGTTGAATCCGTATTTTTTTATTGAGTGCGTAGTACATTAAAAGTATGGAGGAGTTAGTACTCACGTGTAGAATGATACGGAAATAGTTTTGTATTTATTAAAATATTCAAATATACACCTAGACCAGGTAGGTAGGTAGGTACTGTTTACATGTAAAATGGAGGCTACATACATATTGATACATGAGTAACGTTTTATTCTTTACTTACATCACGTTTTTATATTTAAATAGGTACAGACAGGTTAGCCAAAACTGTTAATTAATGTCATTAAATTAATATGATTTGATGGTGACGTTAAGGGTGGCAGTCGTCCAAACAGTATTTCGATCGCAACATAATATGACACGTACGCATAATAGCGTGTAATTGTTGTATAAAGAAAACTATTTATTAAAAAGAATTTAAGGGACTTTGTTTACACTGTTCCTTAATCCTATCTATTACCCTATCCTTATTTTGTCTGCGTAAGAACCATTCTCGTTCGTCATAAAATATCATAAAAAAATCTCAACTATGTTGTGTCGGCAGCGCGATGTCTCCGATGTCTCAGCGAAGCGCACGCTTTTCATACGAGTCCCGTTTTAAAACGGGAAACTTGAAACTACGAGATCTTTTTTCAGGTAAGTCACATTGATTAAGTTATTATTTCCTATAAACTTAGTACATCTCACTAGACAATATTTGAATTTTTTCTGTAGGTACACTTAAACACGTTCTTTAAAAGTCTGGCTGTTAATAGACCTAGTTGCATTTCCGAAAGATCAAATCGGTGCGGTTATTTTGAAACTGCCAATTACTCTCGGGGCGTGTTGACGTGTGTCACGTACTCGGGTAGGTGCTAGGAGCCAAGGAACAATAACCAATGGATAGTTTGAGACGAATTACAACTGCAAATAATCACAAGTCAAATGGTTATTATAATTTATAACCTACTTAAACCCACAAAGTAGTCTTAAGGTAAGAAAAGACGAGGGAGATTGTTAGATTTCTATTGATTAAAACTCCCTTCTATGAGCGAGCTACCATTCTCAAGTCGCTTGCTTGTGAGGATTATGGTTTTCACCCTTTGAAGGAGTTGGAGATGTATTTTTTTAATGTGATTGGTCGGCAAACGAGCAGACGGATTACCTGATGGTAAGCAATCAGCGCCTCCCATGGACACCCGCAACGGAGGAGTTACGAGTGCGTTGCCGACCTTTTAGGGATTAGGGATTTGGAGATTTAGGGATTGAGGAGGGATTGGGGGAGGGGAAGGATTGGGTCTACGGTAACCTCACTCACACGGCGAAACACAACGCTGTGGTTGTTTCACGCCGGTCTTCTGACCATAAAAATGAATGAGACATCAAAACTGATCTTCTTTCTTAACCGCTTTATTCTTGACTCTTACCATTCTGGTCCAGGTAGAAAGAAGAGCCTGCCATTTTTTCCTACTCAAGGTCATTCTTTCAACTAAAATTGATAAGTAGTTGAAATATTAATACTTCTGGAACCTTTATTTATTATGTTCTTTTTGATTAATCGTCCTTTAGTCAACCTTTGTTTAGGGCATCGATCGATCGTTTAATAGGTGTATTCAATTGGTTTCTAAGTCTGATAGCATTGATTACTCATTCATATTTTATTGTCACTTGTCTGGTGGTTTTGTGCCTACATAAAGGCCTTTTTTGAAACGGGCAGTTTAACGTATAAGTACTTGTGATTATTCTATCTTTGTAGCATTTCTATCAGAATTAAAAAAAAATGGTTCTTATTTGATATTAAAGAACTGCCGTAATGAGTGAATTAATACCCGCACAGTGCAAAAAAACCTAAAAAAGACTGTAATAAAGTCTGGAATTAAAATAATTATATTCCGACGCAAGCAAGCAGTAACTGACATAATTATAAGAGGAACGGCGCATACGCACCTCATGTCCATAAATAAAACATAGAACAACGAACTCTAGCGACAAAAAATATGGCAGAAGGTAACTCTGTACTCGTCTCAAGGACAAGATTAGGTTACGTAATTATAAATGACGTCATACAAAATGAAATAAATTTAAGAAAAATATCTCAATACCCTTTGGTGTAACAAGATTTTTCCCCACTTTGAAACCCCTATAAGATATACCTAAAAATTTTTATAATATATATAAACGTTACCCCACACTACCATTTTCTACTGTGTCGTAGGTGCGTTTACAAACATACAATTTCACATACGCAGCACACCCAGACCCGGAACAACAATTGTGGATCACACAAAGAGTTGTTTTGTATGGGAATGGTACCCGAGAGGCGTTGCGCGGCAGACAATTGACCAGCCACCACGCCAACCGCACTTTATATGGAATATTCAGTTAATTGTTTAAACTAAGCAACGACAACTTCAAAGCGTTGGGATTGAACGTCAAAAAGGACTTAGCATAAGGTAAGTACGATACTAAACATTATTAAGTCTTGCTGCGTTCTTACAGCTGGAATATTTCATATATAAACAATTGAAGATCCAGTTCAATCAACAACAAACATAACTTCATAAAACAATAAATGAGATAAAGAAATGATAATACAAGATATTAAGCAAACAGTAGCAAGTCTTATGGATAAAGTAAGTATCCTACTTAAGCCCCTTCTTATTGCAGCAATTACGTTGAAGCTATTGCCTGGATTGGCACTAGCTCATTATATTTTATAGAATAATATAAAATTCATAAATCGAAAGATAAAGTATCCTACTAATATTATAGTTTGTGAGAATTTATGGTTGTATGTTTGTTATTCTTTCACGCATAATCGGTTGGACCGATTTTGTTGAAAATGGGTATGTAGATAGGTGACTTTGGATCAACACACAGGCTACGTTTTGTCAAGATACCAAGCGGGCAAAGCAGCGGGAGGAAGCTAGTGATAAAATAGACTTAGAAGTATAATCTGCGTATTTTTTTTTTTTTTGATAGAATATATTTCCAAATGCTGTAAGTAAAATGGGTTATTCTATGATAACGGCATGCACCACGAGTACGTAGAGAAATTAAACTAATATTTAAAAAAAACTATTGTTCTATTTCGAGTAAGTAAGTAGCAACAAAATGCGGATAATTTATAAAACTTTTGCTGTCCACACTTCTTTAAAACTTGTTGAACAATGTGTATCTACAAGCTATAAAACATTGGCAGGATTAAGATCATAAATAAAATTTGAAATGCTGTAATCGTTTCGTCCACCTGAAGCATTACTCCTCATATCAATAAGATTAATAATCTTGGCATTCGTTTAAAAGCTGAACTGTTTGATGCTAAGCACATTCTTGGAGTTAATTCGTCAACCGTTTGGCATATTGCCAATAATACTGAACGAAATCGCTCCAAAGTGAAACACAAATTAGGTTTAAAAGATACATAGACGGTCATAAATTGGAATATCTCGATGAGAACGGAAATATCAATCGAAGGAATCAATGATTGTAATATGGATGATTCACACAGACACAATACTAAGGTAGACAAATTATTGGCATTACTGCAAACAATAACAATCAATAATGGGTTTATGACTTGCTCTTGGAAGATGCTTTGAAATCACACAGAGCTCATGTCTAGAGGAAACGAGAAACCATTATACTACGTCCTAATCTAAGAACAAAATGCGCGAATGTCTCGGAACAATTCCAACCATTATTTAAAATTAATGTCAGATCGAGATGGTATGCTATGCAGTGGAAATCGAGAGTAGGTTAACATTTAATAACATTTTCATTTTTATTTATAGCTTTACGCTTCACACCACTTACGATTAACATTATCCAGGCTATAGTGAATGGGTACAGACATCTGCAAGAAAACAAACCCAATTTCAATTTAGAAATCTTTGTTATATTGCCGCATTAGTATTAAATCACCGTTCGAGTGCGTTTGAGCAAATAAATACAGGAACGTTATCGAAAAGCACCTACAATTTGAAGTGTTTAGTTTTAAAACGACTGTCTGAAACAATGCAGATTTTTGTATTGCTAAAGTGATTGCATGTAAAGAACTGTCACTATCTATAAACGCTAATCAATATTTTCCAGATAAGATTGAAGTGTTTGTTGGACTAGCCGCAGACAATACGGAAAGCAACAAAATAAGTCTAAGGTCATCGAATAAAGGAGCATATGTTTTTGTTGCTCTACAATATTTTTTGTAAACATTTCTGGCAAGTGTTAACTCAAAGACTGCCGTGTTGATGTAAAAGTACCAATTACGACGTACTCTGTTGATTTTAGAATTTAATGGTAGACCAGACTAAAAGAAACAAATTATTTCTTGGGAGAACTTTACATAAAGTTAAATAAGAAATTCAGTTTGACTGTCTTAGTTTAGTTTAGTGTATAGTAAGTTCTATTAAAGAATGGCTTGATTTAACCATAACCAGACCTGGTTGTTAAGAATACATAAAATACCTACATCAGATTTACCTGAAATAGGTAAATAATGTACGGTAAGCTGAATAGCAAACTTTGCTAGAGTTAGGTTTCCCTCAGTAAACTGTGTCAGTAGTTGTGACGTCACTTATCGCGTTAGCTGGATCTGGGTCACGTTGAGCCATATCATTATTCCATGCAATAGACACTTTAGAGGCTGCCACCATGGTTTATCTCGAACTTATGACGTTATGTAAAAATATTAGTGTCTTGTACATTCCAAAATTATTAGGAATCACATACAAATCGACCATTTTGTTATACAAATGACGTACCAACTTAATAAAGTGTTATAATTATAAATATTTCTACTTAAATATGGGACCTAAAATGCAACCTTGTGGAATCCATAAAACTCTAGCTTAGGATTAATAATATTTTAACGAACAAAATTACAACAATTTTACCGTATTCCTACAAATACAAAATACCAATATTTTTCCTCGAGGTCAAACGTAGCTTATCACGCCTAATGGCATTCTAAATCACTATGCCAATGCATGATCATGATCCACAGCGACGAATAAAAACCATACAAGCAACAATAGACGTTAATACACATATACAAGGCATATTTTTTCATTTTAACAGAGGATTATGATAATTTATTTCGACATTGAAGTCTGCTGAAAACTTAGCATCTTTGTAGTGTGTGAAAATATTACCTCCTACAGTCTACCTTACAGTCGCGATTGAATGTGAATTGACCACCTTTTCACGTGAAGTCAGGTGAGTTAATCTTCATTAGCTAGAATGCATAAATTCATGAGGAAAACATCCTTTAATTCAATTAAAAGACGGTTTCCAAATTTTAATTACAATGGAAGGCTTTGTTAAACTATGGTATACCAAAGACAGATTGAGATTGCTCAACAAAGCTTTTGTTAAGGTGAGCTAGTATTTTTACGTCATCAGCTTACAGCTGATTCCTGATAAAGTCATACTTAACGTGATGTAAGCGTTTTTAATAATACCAAGTTCCTCAGTCAGCAGGAAATCATGTTTAATTGCACGTTTACACGATACCAATCAGTCACCACGCTTTCTAAAAACAGACTTATAATTTTCATCATAATGATTACTCCGCTTTAAGCGCAGTTTTAAAGTAAGCATTAATTTTCCATTTAACATTTTCTCAGTACCTACAGCATCAAATTGGCGATTCATGCAAATATGGATCATAAACTTTTCCTATATTTTAGAGTCATCAGGCTATTACGGAAAATAAACTCTTTTGTTCTGTTGTTAAGTATGAATTTAATATGCAGCCAATGGAAAACAACGCCATTTATTAGAGTATAATTTATGTACCTATGGCTCATATGGCAATGAGCAAACGTAATCTCATCAACACGCCACTGTTAATAGGTCGAGATAACGCTAGAGACACGCTTACTCGTTTTCAGAACTGTGTACATTGTTATCAACGTAAACAATAGAGTGTGAATCATCCTCGTTTTCTTGGGAATCTATAATTTTCGAGGATTTGCCAATTCGCGAAGTTTCGAGTAAAATCGTCGTTATAAAAATGCTTACTGCCTGCATCAGATTTTTCTTTTAGGAGTTTTGGGTTTTGAATTGTGGGTTTTGGGTGGCGTGAAAGGAAGTGTCAAGCTCTTACTGACTAAAAACCACCCCATTCCCTCTCCTCCTGCAAGCCGGGGCCAGGTACATTATTGCTTTTGCACCCGCAACCCTGGCTTAAAGGAATGATTTTACTTTTAACCTACAAATATGGTTGTTCTTTATTACCATCTACCGCATTTTCCATATACCTAAATATCTACTTTTAAACTTTGGGAAATATAGCAAAATACTTTATATTGAGCTATAAAATGAATCCATAACTTTGAATTCAGTTCAGTTTGGTTTCATTACCTACATATTTTGCCCTACTAAGGTTAAGTCACTCGAGGACATGTACATATTATGTTGCTTGACAACGTTTTGTTTATTTTAAAGGCACGTTTGCCCGTTTGGTTTTACTAACTCTACTTTATTGAGTAACTAGCCATAACTCTTCTGTCTTCAAAAGAAAGGAAGTTTTACTGCCGTACTAATATCTCTAAAGACAAAACAATGGTCGCTACTCATTATTCATAACGTGCACATGGAACTGGTTTCTTTATAGTACTCGGAAACTACGGCCTTGCCTATGTTTACTGCATCAAACAAACAACGATTCTTGTTTTGATGACACTTCCAAGGGTAATTTGAACTTTGAGTTAATTTTGGTAAAATATATTTTCGACTGACTTGTCATCAAATGCAGTATGGACAATTTCAAAATACTCAATTTACGGTCCTTCTGTGGTCCTATTATAGTTAGTTTTGTGTATGTTCCTTACCTTAGCAATTAATTTTCCATCATCACCAATCAGGAATTCTTCCAGTCCAAAAACGAGGGGTGATGCGGTTCCTAGGTGGAATATCCTAGATGATGTGCCCCTTGTCACTCTGAATTCAATAGTCTTCGCCATGAGCACATCTGTGATCATGTAGACAGACTTTTTGCCTTGCAAATCTGCAACAAATAAGAGAGATACCTAGTTAACATATCTTGAGTAATTACCACAGCAAACTTTAAATAGCTCAAAATCCAGTTCTTGTTTTCAAATTTCATTAAAGGACTTAAATCCAGATCATTACGTACTTTCTAAAATTAGTTCGCCACTACTGACATACGGTGAAGGAAAACATCATGAGGGTTTAAAAAGGGGCAAACCGCCTCAAGCAAGCCTACAGATGCTCAAACCTTCTCCGTGTGAGAAAAGGCCTTTGCTCAACAGTAGACAATTTTGTAGGGAGGCTAACTTTAACAAATTAATATTCAAGTTGATCAGAGTATTCCGGACCTCAGAATTCACGTATAATCAAAATACGCAAACAAAATTAATTAGCGATAAACCAAACTACGTTGTTGATGATTTCAGATATTTTTAAAACGCAAATAAGATAATAGAATTTTTATCCGATATATTTATAAGCATAAACATGTTGATATGTGATATATTGCTAACAAGCTGGCAAAGTTGCGACGATTTTATTTGACGTCCTACGATTGTTTGCTTAGAACAAAACAGCGCCGCGAAGAATATTAAAGCTTTTATTAACTTTATTATTATTATATAACTGTACAACAGAATTGTTGTCTATTGTCGGACTATAAATAGATATCTACTGGTTTCGGTTAATTAAACGCGTCGCCAACAAAAAAAAACATATTCTATTTGCTGATACGCAATAAAGCATTAACATAAGTCTCATTATGGCAAAAACATCCTTACCTTTGTTATTTTCAACGTCCAAATAGATATTGTTGACGAGATCCTTGTCCCTGGGAACCCTGGTCCTTGTGAAGTTCACCATGATTACCCTAACTTTGTTCTTAATGGCTTCATCTTGCAATGTGATCTGTAAATACGATTTTTTGTTAGGAAAACTATAGACTACAAGTTGTAGGACAGAATGGCCAAGGTCATTGCTGATATGGGTATAAAAAACGAGACTGTTGCGTCATTGTATGTCCTAGATTCAGATTATGTATATTTTATACGGTATGTTTATATATTATTTTAACCCTTATAAGTTATTAAACCGTTTCACTAGTAGAACGTTATTGAACTTAGGGGCTCATTTATTGAAAAAACTGCACTCAACCCAATAATGGGTTGACTGCAGTTTTTGCTTCGGATAAAAAAGACAGAACGAATTTACTATATAAAAACATCAAATAATTTCAAAAACAGCTAAACAGATTTCTGTAATTCTCGGGAGTGGAAAAGTCTATTTTAACCACGTTATTTAAAGACTAAAGATTCTTTAAGTTTACATATTTCAATTACGTTGTATTTATTTATTTATCTAATCGCGTTTTAGCTACGGTAACCAGGTGTGAATTCCATTTTACGTCTATCTGTCTATCTGAACATCATACAACAGGGCATTGACCTACACCGCAGCAGTATAACCGTTTTTATATTGTAGTGGGATCAAGGCACTTCTTTACAATTTCCTTTCTTTTTTTATTGGTGGCAACTTTGAAAGTGCGAACGAAAGATTTTTGCTATATGTAAACTCTTAGCAAGAAATATGAGTTTTGAAAAGTGGTAATTAAGGGTTTACACCTCAAGATTTAAGAAAAGAGATCATTAAAATGCTATAAGTGTAACATAAAATACTAAAACTGAAGTTGAGGAAAATTTTAAAAATTATTCTGGGGAAGAATATTTTTGGTGCGAACTAAATTTAAGCAATAAAATATCGCCCTCGTTTCTGGAATTTTCTGTTTAATCAAGGTTCTGAGTATTCATTGGAGTAACATAATGAAAGAAACGAGATCAAAAACACATACGATTTAAAAATAAGATTTATATCGGTTGAAATGCAAACAAGATTAGTGATAAGATTAAAATAGTAGTCGCATATGAAACCCACGTAACGTAGAGCTACTGAATTTGAACATTATTTATATTGATTACGGGTAATATGTTAAATCACAGATTTTTTACCTTTTGTACATTATTTATGAAACAAATAAACCCTGGCACACAAAATGTTAATATAACTCAGGTAGTTCTGGCCGTAAAATCTGCCAAGGACATTAATTTATCCTTTCATTTGGGGATATTTCCACAGTCCGAATTTTGAAAGGCCAAAAGAAGGTCTGCAATTCAGTCCGTACACTTTATAAATTCCTATATGATTAGATGTTAGTGTTATTTGAACTAATCTATTTGTTCTTGAAGTCGTTGTCTCATACCTTATTTTTTGTGAAGACTGTACAAGTTTTTTATGTTTTAAAAATTATTTCAAGTCTGTTGGATGTTTTAAAATGCAGCAAAAATAAGCCTATCGATAGAAGAGCCAAATCATCAACCCACGCTCGAACAAAACTCGTTTACATGATATTGACACCATTTAGAAATTTTACAAACGGGCGCAAAAAATGGTTAAAATGATATAAAGATAATCCTGATCTCTCTAGTTAATCAGCGTATTTTTTTGCTTATACATATGCTACAACTTCGGGATAATGCTACACAATGCACAAAAATGTGTGTTTTGCTTTGAACCAGTACTTCTGTGTTACCAGATTATTTTCGTTATACTAGAAAGAATTATCAGCAACTAATTAGGTTTCTAGGATATAAAGAGAGCTGACTAACCGCACGTACGCACGCAAAACTGCGTTCTTAACCATTTCGCAATCATTGTAAACATTCATCGTTCGGGAACATTTATTATTCAGTGCGTATTTTCTAGACTGTTGAAGGAAATATGAGTACTGCAAGCCAGATTACTCAGCGAGGCTTTTTTTTGTGAGGGGAAAATCATTAAATGACTTCTCCCGCCCAGGGCCGGGCGGGAGGGAGTGTCAGACTCTTACTGACTAAAAACCCCCTGTTCCTTCTCCTGCTCTGGGCCGAGGTCGCGGTGCCTCATTGCGCTTACCCCGCAACCCTGGCTACTCAGCGAGGCTGGGAAGTGAATTTAAGACAGCTTTAAAAAAATATTATTTTATGGTTTTTAATTTTCTGAAAAGATAATCTTTTCTTGTTTTCTCTTATTGCTTCTCTTTCTCTCATTTGAAATTCCAGGTTTACAATTCGTTTCCGCATACAATATTTTAATTTGTTTTTGCGTGGAAGAAATAGATTGTGCCATTGAAAACATCATATATCAATTTACGTGCAACACGTAAATTACTTTTTGGTTACATTATCGTTCACACCAATATGTTCCTTTTGAATCAATAATTATCATAAAACAGTGGTCGCATAGATACGCTTATTAGGAATCGAATGCAATAGCAGTTCCAATTGAGTTTACACTTGGCACACCTCAAAGTCACGTTTAGATGTAGCTGACGAGGAAGAGATTCGTGATTTTATTTCATTAGACTACAAACGGGAAATATTATTTGGTGTTCTACGCATAAAAAAAATATTTATTATATTCTAGCACTACAATTGGAGGGTATTACCATTGGGAATACTTTTTATTTTCATGTAAGTAGACAGTGACTAAGAGTTCAGAAGAATTGCAGTGAGAATGAGTAGCAAAGCTACCCACAACAACAGAGGAGTTACGAGTGCGTCGCAGACCTTTTTCGGGATTAGGGATTGGGGGAGGGGAAGGATTGGGCCTCCAGTAATCTCACTCACACGGCGAAACACAACGCTGTAGTTTATTCACGCTGGTTTTCTGTGAGGCCGTGGTATCACTCCGATCGAGCCGACCTATTCGTGGCGCATGGATCTGCCACACTTAAATAACTTTTGTAATGTCATCTCGGCTAGTCTCTTCACAACATAAACTACTGGTGCCATTCAACGAAGCAAGTAGGAAATGAGGTGAAAAATTGCCTATAAGAATTCGCGAGAGCGTTAAATTCAATACTTCGAGGATTTAGTACATTTCATGCTTGTGTAAACTTCCTTATTAAAGGAGTGTTGCTTTAAAGATTCTGGAAAATCTTCGTGTCTGGTATAATGAACAGTAATTGTCCCTTTCTCCTTTGTGATTTGTTATTACAGGAGAAATATACATACATACAACAACACCACAGAAAAACAATGTCAAATAGGGCTGGCAGGATATAGGGTCCATAAAGTTTGGTGACTATTTTTATTCCAAGGAGTTTAAACAACAATTAATGTCCTGGCTTGATCCAAATCAAGTAAAGTCAAAAAATTAATGTGGTCAAAAGTTCTTATTACTAGTAAGTACATATTATAAGTTTATGGCCATTTTCAGGAACTGTAAACTTCGTTCTTTCTTTTTCTGCAGCTTTAGACCTCTCCTCCTATTGATTATGATATGATAGGGGTTTTTAGCAAGGGGAAAATCATTAAATGACTTCTCCCGCCCAGTGTAGGGCGAGAGATAGTGTCAGACGTTTACTGATTTAAAAAACGCCCAGTTGCTTATCCTGCTCTAGAACGAGGCCTTAGTGTTATTGCGCTGATGAATGATACAGGTACAATTTAGACGATTTTATAAAAATAAATATCAAGCTAGTACCCATAATTATCTAAATCGACAATTAAGAAGTTACCTACCTAAGCAAGCTTATTTATTATAAAGCAATTGTTTAAAGGTCTTTAAGATGCATTCATGATCAGATATGATAGGATTATAATATTAATGTAATCAAATCTTACTTAAAAACCTTCTATTTGTTATCAACAAGACTTGATATTGATCTTGAACATGTCATACCTGCTAAGTTGATTGATAAAAGTAATTCCCCAAATTGTTTACATGGCTTGACACTTAAAGGTAGCACAGGTACTTGTTAGATTAAAACTTGAGTAATTTGTGAAGTAGGTAATATAGGATGTATTTATCTATATTTTATACTAGCTACCACTGCACGGTTTCACCCGCTGCTCGGCTCCTATGGATCTAAGGGTGAAATTTTATAGCCTATAACACCCAGAAACATTGTAGATATCTATCAGAGAAAATTTTAATGGGACACAGATTGTTGTTCTAGATTGATGACTAAAATAATTATTTAGTAAGCTTAAGTGTAGTGTTTGTACTACAAGGGAAAAATCTTGTTAATCCATTTAATAAAAAAAAGCCATGATAACCCAAAATGTGTCATATAGTATAGTAAATATGAAGGCATGTCTCCTATCAAGTGATAATTCTAAACTAAAAGTATACTAGACTATGGATACCTTAGGACCTTTAAAATAAATATTAACTGATCATTTAATTACCTATATTTTTAGAAACCACTGAGTACTTAGAACTTTTCCTATCTTTAAGATTTTGTATTTTCCTTTTGTAGAGTTGGATGTTACATTAATTAAGATTTTTTTCAATCATGACACAGATTATAAATGCTTATTGTAAGTTTCGAAAATACTGCCAAAACTAATGTTCAGTGACATAATTTTACCAGGAGTAGCCTAACTTATTCAGACTGCTGAAAGAGACTTAAATATACAGTGAAGTTCAGTGAAATTTTAAAAATAAACCTATTTACTGTTAAGCATTTTTTTTGACATGTAGGTCTTGTTTGTATTAGGTTTAATGCAGTGTCTTTTTTACAATAATAATTATGCCAGTACATAGTGACCTTAGCAGTTAATCTAATGGATAATGCATGACAGCCATTAGGCAAACAAATGTTGCATTATTCAAGCCTGATAATGATAGTAGGTAATGGTTGCATGTTGCATGCTCTCTTGGGCATCATTCATTTTCTATTGTGTAGGTTTTATAGGGGTACCACAAATGGCATAGACTAGGTACCTGCGTTTTTTTCTAAAAGGCAAAAATATTTTTGAGTAAGTATAAAATTTAATCACATCACATGACTTACATAAACACCTGTTTTTTTGGTTTCAGTGGTATTATTATACTACGATTTTAAACAAACATATGTTTAAAATCAATATAATTTATGCAATATTAATTTTGGTGACTGTACAGACTTGAATATCGTAATTTCAGTCACTGTTCTACCTTGTAACCCTTTGTACATATTTTAAAGTACTCATAAATGAAACACATGCAGAAAGATCGACTATCTGACAGTAGTTACGTGGTACATAAGAAATATATTATTTTATATTCAAAATACTGACCTTTACGCTTTCATGGGGAAATTTGAATTCACGCTCTTGAAAGTCACCTTCTTCAAGCCATTGCACATGTTCGGCGGTTGATTTCTCCTTATTAATGTTCTTCACCAATTCACCGAGTGGCGTGAACATTTTACCGTTCGTTTCCTTTTCATTTGGTACAAACAGGGATGTAACTTTATACAAATCCGCTTCGGTAATATGAGGAATACACACCAACTGACTGCTGCCGATTTCGATCTCAATTTCGTCTCTGATAAACGGCCAAGCATCCTCTAACTTGAGAGACTTTAAATTTTCCAAGCTAACATCTTTACGGATTTCGTGCGAATACAATGATTTTACTACTACTTTCAGTTTTTTCGGCATTTTGATTTATTATTTTTAACGCAATTCGCTTACACAACACAAGTAACGTCTCAGCAACTGTCAACGATAGACTGGCAACTTTTTTCTCTTTTCTCACTGAATTTATGCTAGTGGAACAGAAAGAGATGGTTAGTATGATCAATACGCGTAAATCGAATGAGTGTGAATGAAACAGCAATACCAGTAATACCATACGTTGGTTTAAATATTCCCTTTAAATATTTCTTTAGACAAGAATGTAATTTTTATGTGATATGCTGATATGTTCATAACTTTAATCAGGCACTATTGGAAATAACAGACAAAGAAGAAGAAATTTGAAATGCATATCTTATGTGAAAGATATCATAGTAGATGTATTAAAAGAAGAATCCGAGTAAATCAAATTGCAAACAAAAATATGCTGCTACTTACTCTACAGCATGGTGCTGCAGAGTAAGCAGCAGCATATTTTGAATTTACTTCCATTTATCTAACAACAGTCCTCAAAAACCCTATCAAGCGCTTTAAAAAAGCCTTTGTTTAGCAGAAGGCCGAACCTTGCCGATGATTATGATAGTAAAACAGATCATACGAAAAAACACCCTAGTAAATATACTTAAATAGTCATTTCAAACTCCGCAAATCATGTTTAACACCAATGTCTATTTCCAATTTTGTTGTGTTTGTCGCGCATAAAAATTTCCAAGTTATAATTAAATTACCAAGAACCTTGGTTAGGAGAAAAACACGGCATCTCTCGATACGTCACGTTGTTGTCACGCGTAGCTCACGCAACCACAGCGTTGTGTCGGTGTCTTCAAACATGCAGGATGCATGCGGGGTTACGATGCTGACTCAGCCTAGTCATAGTTTTCTCACGAATAATCTGCGCCAATTTTTCGCGTGGTCTGACGCAAAATGACGAAATTTAAAATATTAACATCACGCTACCAACTTCTACTTTCATAACGTTTTTTAATGTTAGGTATAGCGTGATGGTAATAAAAATAATATTTTGTATTTAGAACAGTTGCTACTTGCTAGCCAATAATAAAATCACACGAGGTTTATTCTTGCTGAAAATTGTGTTGCTCTAGGTAGGTACATAAATTAGGTACCTATTGTTAAAAATCATTTCCAGGAAAAAGGCAACGTCTTTTCTTTTTCCCTTTTATAAATCCATAGTTTAATACGTTAAGAAGAATATATTAGATATTTTTTCCGTAATCCGAACTATCAGTCTGATTTCGGCCACTGCTGGACATAGGCCTCTTCAAAAGCTGAACATCGAGCGCAGTGGCGTGCACTGCGCTCGATGTTCAGCTTTTCTCATCCAACCACTGGCAGCCACCGCCAGCGAATATCGCCAGTCCACCTGGCCGGAGGGCGCCGTGGGATCTAGAAGCGAAGGCTCTCGCGCGCGTCTACAGTTTGCACGCAGACGCGCTTCGCCGGGGCGAAGATCCTCTGCCGCGCCAAATTAGTGCGTGGCGGAATGCTATAGAGCTCCGGCGAGATCTCATGGCTGAGTGGAAGCAGCGACTGTCGCAACCGAGGGCCGGGCACGCTACTATAGCAGCGGTAAGACCAAATCGCAATGACGACACTCGGGCGTTTCCTCCCGCTGGATCCGAAACAGGAACCTACCGAAGCTGCCATGCCCGGTAAGCACCTGCGTCAGGAGGAAGGTGAGGACGCGTTGCTCTAACCACTCCTCAAAGACGGTTCTTACCGCTGCCGCTGCTATAGCCTTTGTTTTGGTATCGGGTTGGAAATCCTCATGGAGACCCACCGCCCTCGGGGAAGGGCGGGTCAAACTATTACTGACTAAAAACTAACCCGGTCTTCCTCCATTTATACCCATGTGTTGGAGGGGTGGGTATAGCCGAAGCATTCGTCGCATCCCCACGACGAGTATTGGTCCGCCAGATAGTTAAGCAGACCCCGTCACCCTGACCGCAGGACTTCACCATAAGGCGCACGCGGAACACGGCGCTCCCGCCTCGAGGCCTTCTGCTGGTCGGACGACAAGACGGCCCGCGTCCGGCGTCCGCAGGCCGCGCCCTACGGCTAAAAAGCTATTTGTTCTGACATGTGCCAAATGTGTAACCAAACGCTAGTCACTAGATGATGTAGGTAGTGGTTTTACTTGTATGTAATAGGTGCGAGTATGCGATACTCCAAGTATGATTCTAGATTTTGTATTACTATTAAACATTTTCGAATACTGAAAATGTTCAGCCCTTGGAATTTCTTTTGACCTTGGAATTGCACTCTTAGCTCGACGCGCGGCTGTAACCCAAGGAGGACCTTATGGTAAACAGTTAGTAAGAATCAGGAAAAATGAAACAAAAGGTAATGTTAATTACAAATTATAATACTCATAAGCTTAAAATTAAAGCAATTTATTAAAATCATTAACATTAATTATAATAAGGCAGGTTTTACAATAATATATTTTGAATGATAGATGATAGAGAGCATGTGAAAATAACTTTACTATAAAAAATAAATGGAATGTCTTTACCTGGCTATGAATGACATTACAAAAATAAAATACGTAACAATATTTATTAGAATTACATTTGTAAAAATTATAATAAATCTCAATAAATAAAAATGTCACATTGGTTTGGGTAAGCAAATATAAGCCCTGTTTCCAAAACATGTAAGTGCAAGTGAAATTAAACTTTATGAATGAACAATAACATAGTGATTACATTTCCAAAGACATTAGTGTATATTTATCATGTTTGAAAATCTTACACCTATTCATTTCATTTATGCAATTACTTACAAAATAAAGTATAAAACATTAACATCAATGTTAAGTTTTATCCATATTTTTGTAAGTACATACTTATCAATAAGAAGTGCTAAAATAATTATACATTTATCAGCATTGCTTCTGAAGCTAAGCCTCTTTACAACACAAACTCTTTGCTGTCAGTGTGACAGCTCAAAAGGCAGTGCATTGAGTCTTTGAAATTAGTATAAAAACTCTTTTTGCATTAGAAATGAAATTAGTCTAGTAGATATCCATACCCTATTTACATTGAACAATATTATACTTTCTACTTATCAGTGCCTCTCACTAGTCCCACTAGACTACTTACATGACTTATGCATATTAAGTTTTATATTCATATAATGTTAATAAAGGCTGAAAGTCTTTTTAAAAAAGGCTAAACAATTTGAGATACCAAAATAGATCTTTATGATTGAGATTCCAGAATGTTATCAGTGTCCAAAGATTGATTAAGGACTGATGAATTTACCATTATAACCACCAACAGTTTCACAAAAAAACTATTTTGGTGGTAATAATTATAGCTCCTTTGACTTTCAGCCTTACAAAAAAGAAAAAAGGTACCAGCTTTTGGTGTTGTTACAAAAGCATTTGCAGTGTTTCCAGTGTTGCCAGACCAGAAAGCTAGTGTGGCCAAATCTCTTCAACCATTCTAATAGTTTTTACTTCTTGACAATATTAGGTGTAGTGGATTGGAAAACAGATGATGCAGACATTAAGTTTTCTATATACTGTCCCAAGACTTGGTTCTCTGAGCGTAGTTTCAGATTTTCTTCTTTCACCGAATCCACCCTTTGGGATAGATCTGAAAAATAATGTGAAATTGTTTAACACATTCAGTGCCCTTGACGCACCTGTGCGTTCAATACATTAATGTATAGAACGCACAGGTGCGTCGAGGGCACTGAATGTGTTAACTGATTTCTAAGATAAATGCTTTAACAAACTACTGTTTAATTACAAGTGGCACACTGCTTATAACAATGCAATTGTACTTGAAACTTCTCGACATTCTCGAATTAATTCCACTTCTACAGATCATGAAAATATAACACAAAGCTAAAGCCTCATTTCAATGTATAAAAGAAATAGAAACTGCGAATGGTATTAGTATGTGGTAGTAGTACTTATGTTTGTATTAAATACGATATTTCCAACAATTAAACATACGAAATACAATGTGTCATAAGCTAAACAAAGTTAATTACAGAGACGATGATAAACAATCTTACCATCTAATGTATTCTGCAATTCCAAGACCTGTGATATAAGGCGGGCTTTTTCTTCTTGTTCATCGATTCCGGAATCTGGCTCGAAACTAGGTGGCCCATTGAGGCCAGGGCTTGAGGAACCACCAGTATAGGAACTCGGCAATGAGTCCATTGAACGACCATGATCTAAATGATTGTTTTCTATTTCATCGTTAATTATCACTTGTGGGTCGTCGTCTGCTAGAGGTATATTATCGTCGTTACACTTTTGCATAATTGATATTTAATAATTGATCAGCCGGGTATTTTAAATTGATACACTGTTAGGAAATAGGGCAATTTATCGATCGATTTTTCGTTTTGTTTGAAGTGACGTTTCCATTTGTTTTGACATGACATTGGGAGTGTATTTATGAGGACACAGACCTACAATAATACTAAATCTATGTTATGAGGAACCTGTCGAAAGTCATAATTATTTAAATATTTTTTGTTCAACTTTGAATGAAAATGGTTTTTTAATTTGAAAATTGTAGATTTGAAAAGTGACAAATTAGCGAAGTAAAATAAATTAAAATATTGTAAACTATTTTCTTTGAAGCGAGCTTCATAAACATATTTCACTGCTTATTTTATATTTACAGGTAGCATGTTGCATACATCTTAGCGTTGAATGTGAGAATTAAATAATTACAAAAAATTATTAATATAATAAAATGAAAGATTATTAGCATATAAAAATGCAGTATTTTATTATTAAAAGTAGTGCTACAGCTTGAAATTAATACGTTAAGTACTTATAACGAAACGTAACTGTCAATTCTTATTGCAGGAGTTCGGGAGGAATGTTTTATTTGTATTACAAAATAATTGAATAAAACTCCTTGATATAACAGAATTGTTCATATCCAGAATTATTTTTGCAATGGCATTAGCTATGAGAAGGTCATCAAGTGAGCTTTTTGGAGCAGCGAAATGGTTTATAAGGAGAGGTTAGGAAATACCTTACTGATATTACCTATTTAAGTTTTTGTTAACGGATACTCATGTTCTCTACGTTTATTGTAGATTGCCGTGCCTTATCAACTGTTCCTGAAAGAGCTGAAGAAGCTACTGTTTCACCGAAACGAGAAAGACAAGTACAGTCCCGTTTACGAGCCAACGCAAGAAATCCAAACTTGTCCTTACGCCATGTATATCCTGAATTCCTGCCTGATCCCAACCCAAAATGGAGGAACAGTCTACGTGAGAAACTGGAGAGAAGCGATATGTTGAAAAGGCGTAGCCAAATTGATATACCTGAATTTTATGTTGGTAAGTGCAAACCTTATTGCTGTTGTTATAATACATCACAAATCATCTTCAGTCTTTAAGTGGCTCTGCCAGCTCTCTGAGCAAAGGCTTTTCTCACACGGTGATTAATCATGATTTATTATACCATTGTTAATAATAACATTTAAGAATGAGTTGTACAATGCCAGTACCACATTCAGATGGAAGATTTTAAACTATAAAACATTAAATAGGTTTATAATGCGTAAGCATACTCTAACACTGGTGTCACCATTACCTGAAAATTAAAAAAATATAGTGGCAATAACCAGTATTATTTTCATTCCAGGCTCAATTCTAGCTGTGACCATAGCTGATCCCCATGCTCAGGGCAAGACTAATAGATTTGTGGGAATTTGTATTGAACGCAAAGGATGTGGTTTAAGGGCTGAATTTACACTGAGAAATGTTGTTGATAACCAGGGTGTTGAGGTTTGTAATAATTGAAAAACTTATTTCTTTGGGTGATGAAGATATGAGTAAAACAGGCATTGCATGACAATATTAATAATCATTTCATTATAAGTGCTCTACAACTCCTTTATGTATATTTTGATTTGACATAACTGGCATAATAATGGTGTGCCTTTGCACTCCATAAATAAGCCTTAAATAAAGAAAGGTGTAATAGAAGTTATCGTAAGTGGATGACTTCAAAACTTAATCTGAATTAAGGGCAAGTTTGTATCATGACAAGTATTGTTGAATTTTCAAATTCTTGTATAAATGAACTAAAAACTTACTTGTTTATGTTTTATTAAGTCATTTGCTTGCTATTGATTTCAGGTGAGGTATGATCTTTATGATCCCACAATGCAAAGCATCCAGGTTCTTCGCCTTGAGAAGAGACTAGATGACAAACTGTTCTACTTGAGGGATGCTCTGCCTGAGTACAGCACATTCCCATTTGACATGGACCCTGAAATATTGCCTGAAGGCACACCTGTACCTGTAAATCCTGTGCAGGTTTGTTGAAAATTAATGATTATTTAACATGGTCTGCAATTTAAATATCATGGTGGTCACAAATAGTTGTGCTTATATTTCGCATAAAGCCAATTACTATTTTTTATATGGTGGTGTTGGTGGGTGTTTGATATGGTTACTACTAGTATGGTTGGTACTATTGTACATAGCAGTCTCATTCTATATGTGAAAACAGAAAAAGAGAAAACATAGAAAAGTTTCATAGACAAACCAAAATCTTTAAACACCTAGAAACCTAGTAAAATGAAAATGAAAATCTTTAAACCTAGGACTGAGTTAAACCCTTGAAAAATGTTGTATACCCCAGACTCTTTCCTGCAGAAATGGCATCAAAATAGTTTTTTTAAATTATAAATGTCGTTAAAAATTATTTCTGTGTAAAAAGCTTGATATCTCAATACCATTTGTAATGACAGCAATAATCCATTCACAATTTGCCACGGGTCAAATATAATTAGGTACCGCAGCGTTGGCCTTGAGCAGGAGAAAGAACAGGAGGGTTTTTAGTCAGTAGGGTCTGACAAAAAAATTCTACAATTTCTTACTAGAAATTTTATATTGCCATTAACATTTTCCAGGTTAAACTTAAACCAAGACCCTGGCTAGAAAGGTGGGAGAGACAAGAATTGAAAGGTGTAGCCAACATTGAGGAGCATTTGAAGGAGAAGGATAGAGTCAGGAGAGAGTTGCGGGCTACACCATGGGAGAAATATGACCTGATGAAGCAATACAGGTAACAGAACATTTTAAAATATTAATAAGATGTATGAAAATATAGTGATTTTAATTGTATAAATGGGTGTGTTAACTATTATAAATAATGGTTGATTTCTGAATACAAATATTTAAATTGGCACACTAAGTATAAACCTTTCTTTCATCACAAACAAATAAGAATATTCAAGTGTTTACTTTTTTTCCAGAAAAACAATTCCTGTTGAGGATCAGAATGATATTTGGGCGGAAGTGAACCATCAACTGAGGCAGCTGCAACTTACGCGCAAGACCACTTCAAGGAAACGTACATTCACCACGCCTAAACCTCAACTCGGATAGAATCTTAGTTTTTATTGATTATGTTCAGAAGTAGTTTATTAAAGTACATATTGTTACAAATATTTTGAGTATTATTATAAGTTCCATATTTTTATATGCACACAGATCTTCTATAAAAAAGATTTCGATTTCTTTTCTTCCTCTATTAGTTATATCTGGTATGAAATGCAGAAACTAAATTGACTGTACAGGTGACGCGGTGACTAGACAATCAGCTGCCGTGCAAAGTGTCGCGGGTTTGATTCCCGCACGAAACAACTTGTGTGACATAATTATGTGGCAACACACAGAAACAAGACTTCGTGCGGGGTAACATTTTATTTGAAAAATAAGAGACTCAGAAGAAGGATGTACCTCAAGTACATCGCTGTTAGGGGTCTTGACTGTACTTCCGTGATTTCTTTGATAGCAGTGTGATGCCTCTTTTAGCCAAAGCAGCTACGTATGTTGCACCCGTGTCGCTACATTCTAGCGGCCGGGGCACACTAATTAAGTTTGCTAGTCCTGCGTTGCCGGTTTATCCGCATCATCCGCATGAATGAATGTCGGTCAGGAGAGGTTTTGGAGATTGTCCTTGGGTGCACTTTCATAGTGTATATACGCCTAATTGCCGGGTGATGTTCTATTTTACTAATATTTATTTATATATTATATACAATTGCATTTTCTGCCAGTCAACCTAACATTAGTCTAAAGGTCGAGTTACCTACGGCTTCTAAAGGGTCGGGACCCAAATAGAGAAAGGGAATAATATTCCATTTATTAATGGAAGGTTGTCGGAAGCATACAATACCTAAGTTAGTTTCAGGCCTTCAGATACCTACCATAGTTTACCATCTAGTATCATCTAGTATTCTAACATGAATAAAATTTATACATGTTAGGTAATTCAGAAACATGCATTGAAATTAAAAGTATAATGAGCAAAAACAAAACGTTTTCAGTTGTCATAAGTTTCTTCATGTCAGGAACAGATGGCGCTACTAGTTGTTATTTCGATGATTTTATGCATGTATTAATAAAGTATGATAAATATTGTAAATATTTTGTTTTGTCGACAGGTTTACCACTATTTTACCAATATTTTATATAAATTGTTAACAAAAGCTCAATATTGTGTCATGTCGCGGCCGTGGCTTAAGCCCGGAAGGTTGCATGCATGCATATAGAACCTTCAAATAAGCAATCAAAAATAGCTCTTATTGTCTTTGCAGTAATGATCACATTGATCTTAATTCAATGAGTTTGCTTTGCTTGCTTGCGTGCGGCGCGGGCGGTCCGTGGAGCGAAGAAGTTCGCTTATTGTTCTTGAATGCACTTTTCTTGTATACCAAGCGAATCGAATAGGAAATACAAGAGAATTGAATAAAAATCGTGTTGTTTGTGCTAAATCAGTGAAGTGTACAAAAGTTTTTGTGAACTTGTTTGGTTACTGTGTTGAAATTGCATGTTGCACTTGATACACCTGTCGCCCGGTAAGTAATATTGTTTATGTGCTTATTTTTGCGAAAATATGTTCCGATGTCAGTGGTAAAATGACCGTGGCTGATAATTATATTGGGTATACCGTTATGAGTATGTGAGTAGTTGCGGTATTACTCTTATAAATTACGAATTGATGGTGACATAAAATTGCAACTGCAGTCGGGCTAACCAGAATTTATCGATTGTGACGCATTATAGGTAACTGGTCAATAGCTGTTACAGCTCGGTTTTACAACAAACTTTATCTTGAAATAGTTTTACTTACTTTCCAGTAACTGTTTATTTATAATGGTTGAAGTAAGTTGAAGTAGAATGTAAGCAGTGTTTTATTACTTAGCAGACTGCATACCAGTCGACCTTTGCCATTAAAAATTCCTTGTCAAGTAATTTATCACTCATTTAGGTAACACTGTCATTTTCCTTTTAGTTACGTAGATTCTGAGAAGAATTATGTTGCATCATCATATGTTTTAATTTTATACCATTATTACCCAAAAACCCTTCATTTTTATTCTATAGACATCCTTTAGGATAACTTTTATACTTAGCCTCTTATAATTCATTTATGTGTTTTTTTAAGTAAGTACCTTGTTAGTTATTTGATAAAAACATTTTAATATATAATCTATTTATGTTTCAGAGTACCAATAAATAATAGAAGCATAATGTAGTGTATAAAAACAATGAAGCATTTATAAAAGCATTTCAAGTTACAACCTTGTAATCTAATAAATAAATGTAACTCAGCAAAACTTTTTACATAGACCTCATTTGTTTAGGTTGTAATGCATAAAGTTTTATTACTTCGCTATTCTACAAGCTAAAAACTTCATTAAAAATGCTACTTGGTTATTATCAAAGTAATAATGATGGATAAAATAAGTAAAAATTCAACAAATAGATAAGTTTTTGAATTTAATATGAGGAGCGCATGGGAGCTGTCTTTCCGATTTCCAAAAAGTTTAGCCAGTTATCTCTTTAAGTTTGTTTTAAAGTTACATAAAATTATAATAAATATCAGGTTCATGCCATATTCTGAAAATAATAAGAGGAACCATGGTTTTTTTGAGACACACTTTGACAGCAAATTTTATTAATGGAAATACATCCACTGCGATTAATAGGTCTCTCTAATAGTGCATCACTGATGTCAATTCTCTACAAATACATAAAGTTTTACTCTGCATTATGTATGCCAGCTATTGCTATTAGGCTTTTAAAATAAATTTAGGTCTAGGATTCGGAATGAGACAGCTAACAATGATATTTATTTCCGAACTATATCTAAGAGAACATTGTGTTGTATTTTAGTAATGTATGCCTCAATGGTGGGCCATAGCTGAACTACTTTTTTAAATATAGCTAATGCTAGCTAATGATTTGATTTTACTTGAACAGTTTTCTCTCTGGCTATTAATTTGTCAGCTCAAAGTTGGTATAGTGATGTGACCTTAATCAAAAGTATCATAACTTACAATTACATTATTAATTTGGGAATAGGCTTTTGGCATGGCAAGCAAAGGGGTAGTAATGGTAACAAAATAAAAATAAAAAGAATAAGCAAAGAGTCCGAGACCTCTTTGCTCATTTCACCTGTTTTGGATATAAAGTTGTTTCCTTTTTTGGCCAGTTAGAACTAATCTTGTTAAAAAAAGTCAATGTTTCACCTGCTACATCAGCTGTGCACTAATTTGAATGAAGGGCAAAGTTATTTTTCGAAATTCATAGCTATACATGTCAAATTGATAATCAAGATACCCTTTTTATTGCCTGGAGAATGTCCTACGGGCGATAAAAAAGTTATAAATTCGACTTGCAGGGCTGTAAACATATTTCGTTGACACATTTTTAACACCTTGGGAGTGTTCACGTGCGCGGGGGTCGCTGACCGATAATCCAATCACTAATGACAGCTTACGACTGTGTTACGACTTACAGGGAATGTTACACCATAGGACTGATGGCAGTTGATTTGTAATACATTGAAGTCCTACTAAAATAGTGTTAAATGATGTTCAACGTATCCAGGACGGTATTACGTATTAACTTGTACGAGCATAAATATCTCACAGAAAGGTTTATCTAGTTAAGTAATTTTTTTATTTTTTATGATATGAGTCAGCAAACTAGCATAATTATGGATTACCTGATGGCAAGCAATCGACGCTGCCCAATGACGATATAACCACGATGACAATGACGATATATTGTATTCTCTTTGGCGCTGCCCATGGACACCTACAACATCAAAAGAGTTACGAGTGCGTTGCCGGCCTGTTGGGGATAAGAGTTTCGGATATTAAAGGATTGGGGATTGGGAAAATATTGGGCCTTCGGTAACCTTACACGGCGAAACACTACGCTGTGGTTGTTTCACGCCGATTTTTCTGTGAGGCCGCGGTATCAATCCGGTCGAGCCGACCTATTCGTGCCGAAGCCTGACTCTCCCACACTCTGTTTGATAGTTTATACATAGGTATTCTAATAAAACAAAATTCTATTAGAAGTGTACTTCGTGTCCTAATTTTTACGAAAAAGTATTTTATGACAAAGTGTTGTAAAAACGGCAGTTCAATCTGTTAACACCTTTTATATCCCATAATTAAGGCTAAGAAAACTTCTGCTTTAAATCAGGTAATAAAGTTACAAAATTCATAGATTTATGAAGTGCGTGCATGTCACATAATTGATGTAATACAACACGTGCGTTACGAAAGCGGAAGGCGACAATAAAAACAATATGGCGTCGTCGTAGGTATATTAGAGAACATCGCACACCTGATTGAAGTGTCACTAAACTTTACTAAACTTCCAGTGTATTTTTAGTTGCGTAACGACGTAACTACTTCAAAGCTTTTGTTAACATAACACACCATCCTTTACATGAGCACGAGACATTTTTTATGTCAAGTCTATTTTTGTTCATCCATGGCTCATTTTGAAAAATGGAAGTGTTTCCGCCATGAAAACTACTGGTTTCCGCTTGGCGTTGGCTAGGTGTTGGTGATCGATGTCTTCATTTCGCGTAGAAGTACCCGATTAATCGGTGTCTGATGTGAGATTCGGATTGATAACTTGTTACCTTTAGCGTTGTTATCAAAAGTAAAAGGTTTGCTGTTCACCAAAAAACGAATCTCTCAAAACCTCTAACAACGTAGTTAGCGTTTCTTGTTTATTGATTCGTTTAACGTATGAAATGACGACGATACATGCAAAAAACTGAATGATTACTTGTATTAACTCGATTGAAAACTTATTTCTGATACAGTCATCCAGATAATTGAATCTAGTTTAGATAGGTACTAAGCGCTGTAACCAGAAACTGATATTAAACCACTTTTAGAACGACCGATTGAATTTCAGTTATGTTAACTAGCACCAGACCATAATATTTATATAGTAACTCAGTTTAAGATAATAATGTTGTTATCAGATAAGGACGAGGTTTCCTAAGTCAGGTATTTAGGTCAGTTTGGTTAAAGATGCAGTACCTTTCGATATCAGGTCGGCGACCTTCCGTCTGCCGGTCAATTTAGAAACTAGCCGATCCCGTGCTCTACCAGTTTCTGTACCACTTTCTAAGCTTAATTACTCGCCTTTTCCAGCTCTTGTTTGGTACTACACATTGTCAACGTTCTTCCGCGTCATTATCGCGATTCAAAAACTATTTAAACGTTGACCGTGGCTTGGGAATGAGAAATTGTTCCCGTTTTCTCCTGTTGGCTCAATTAACGGATGTTAGTTCCTAAACAAAAAGTCCAAAAGTATTGTTTCCGCCCGGGATCGAACCGGGGACCTTGTGCGTGTGAAGCACACGTGATAACCGCTACACTACGGAAACCGCAATGCTTGCGTGCAAATATAAGTGCTATGTTCAACAAATAGCTGGATTAACGTCATATGCCATTTATCACGCTAGAAAATAAGAAAACTACCGAACTACTAGTACTAGAACCGTACTTATTGCAACTATACAACCGCTTCATTATCTCATTTCTGTAAAGCGTCTTCTCTACAGTGTAAGAGCAAACTAGCAATTAGTCTCCACACACTTCAATTAAACCCTGACGTATTGTAGACATGAAATGAAGAGCTAATTGCAACAAAAGGCGCTAAACAAAGGGCTCATCTCGATGTAATACAAAGTGTTGATTCATTGCGTGCCTACAAAGGACTACACACGCAATAACATGGTGTAAAAAAGAAAAATAATATGGTACTGTGACGTTGTTTTATTAAACTTCATTATTTACAGCTAACAATTTCAGTAAATTGATTTATGTTTGCCACGTTGCCTTATAAATCAGCTCAACTAAAACTATTTGACGTGGGCACAGACCACTCCTTTAAAAGCTTATTTTATTATTTCCGTTGCTTTAAGAACTAACTGCTCGAAACAATGTGCACAGTCGCTACTTATGTTCTAAAAAGGTTTTGATTTATAACAGTTAATTTTAATTCAACTCAACACTACTCAGAATCGATACTTCCGTTACTAGAAACAGTCCATTTTGAATCGTTTGCAAACTTTTGTGCATGCAGAAATATTTATTTAGAAGTAGCATTGTTATATTTTTGAGTATAGGAGTTGTGTGTTCTATAGGAGCCTACTTTAATGGTACAAAGACTAGGTTATGTTAGCCACATTAAGTCTCTGTCAAAGGTATAATTGAATTGTATAAGCAATAGTCTGATAATGATGCTTGATCGGCTTGATTCGATAATACTTGCGCAAGCACAGACAAGCCGTGCTGTAATTATGTCTACAATGCAGACACTGCACATTGCGATGCCAAGGCCAATGTTCTTTGATATGTGCGGTTTATACCTATATCTTGTTTCATACATTTATTTAGATTGCAATAAAACCTCTTTTCTATAGGAGTGGGTTTTTGACAAACATCGCATTATAGTGAGTGATTCTTTAGACGTTCTGGTATCCAAGGGTGGGTGACATGGCAAGCAAGATTCTAGCTTTATTGCATTAGTT